ATAGTTTTGATTGCAGTTGTGAATCGAGGAAGATGATGTTGATTTTGGGTGTGGGTGGAATAGATAATTTTTGATCAGTGATGCAGATGATGGAAATGTGTTGTTGAGGTGAGATGAGATATCGTTTTAGTTGTTTGATGGAACTCAGGATGACCCATTTAGACGATGGAGTATTGTTAGAAAATGTCTTTGGTGGTCGATAAGTATTCGCGGCAAAACGGGGATTTGCTGTTCGAAATAAAATATACAATACGAATATTATGATTATAATGGTAGCAATTCGTCGTATATTTGTATTCATCATATTATAGCGATTGATTGGAATGCTAATCTAATTTTATTTTCTGATCTGTTGAAAAGTGGATGGAATATGAGTTATAATATTTAAACGAAAAGACAATAATTGTTCTAATATGTGATTTATATGTTCGTGCGATGTTTAAAATAGTTTATGTATCGAATAATATGAAAATCTTTAAATTTGATCTAAACCATTATAAATAAGTTGCTGTACAATATCAAGTAGTGTTTTCTGATTTACTATACTTCTATAGTACACATAGATCAGGCAAAGGAGTACTTATTTTGATCTTTCAAAAAATACTATATCCTACGTATAATTATGAATGTCAATGAAAAAACTATACGAATATATATCCTTTTCAATTTTTTTATATATATTCTGTTAGAGTAGATATAAGTTTTTCAAGAAGAGAAATACTTCAACATGCTGCCATAGAATGAAAGTATAGACATATATTTATCACTTACTGACTTGAAACTTTGTTTCGAGTACTGCTGATTTCGAAAAGTAAGAAAAGTTGCAGAACCAATTATTACTATTGTTCAAGAGAGTATTATAAAAGAATGCAAAATCTAAAAGTAAATCTTTCTAATTCATTAATCATACAGAGTAATTAAAATGTCATACGTATCCAATATATTCTACATTATGCGTTTCTTATCTAAGTTATCATTTACTTACATATCAAATATTTATTCTTCAATAATAATATAAGTTTTACTCTAAATGATTGATAAAAAGGTTTCTTTTTGCTTTATTAACTTTCAGTTAAATACTAAACTCAATAACAAGATAATGATAACAGTTACTCATCGTCTCAATGACATCCATAATACCTTTATAGATTAATATTTACCATTTTTTACATTAAACTGAGTGGATGTAACTGAATATCGATCACTACTAATAATCATAGCTACTTACGGCTCGTTTTGATGGATGTTCATGGATACCCATGAATATTTTGATTTACTTTAAAATGTTATTGCGATGATTGCCGTTTCACATCGTTTATCGATAAAGCAGTTATGAATGACTTCATTCTGATTATTATTATATCACTAGATTCTTAAATAAAATTGTAACTTAACTATGTTTCAAAAGAAGATGGCTGCGTCCAATGTATTTTTCATTCTGTTATATGCCTTTACTTTAAAATCAACCTTCTTTCTTAGGCAGAAATGTAGTTTTTCTAAATCTGAGAATCTGAAGTCCTTTGTAAACTCTATGATTAAATTCATATATAAAATATCATCGGTCACAAAAGATATTAAACAATTCTTGTTAAAAATTTGAAAAAAGTTTTTTCTTTTGTTTGCTCTTAAATAAACAATCTAAAAATCTATTTCTAATATATCCAATATTTTCTTTTGTCCGCCTATGACTTGTTCACATATGAATTAATGTTCTACTAATAATTCTTTAGCACTCATGGTACAATAAAGATTACCTGTAAAAAAAGAAGTCTACTTTTTTATGTTAATAATTTTAAACATATTTTTAAAAGCACTTCTTCATATAATGTATCAAGAAAAAGAAAAAAAGAGGTGTGATGTTAAATAATATTGTGAATATTAAATTTGACAAAGTTTGCCGTGGTTTCTGTTCTCTATTATATTAAAAAAAACTTTTTGCATTGCATCTGTGTATGATATTCATGGAACAAAAAAATTAATGGAAAATTAAAGTGTTTTCTCATAGGAAATATCTTTTCTTAACACAATATTTGCCATAAAAAAAATAAAAAATGTAAGAAAAAGCAAACATCAGACAGAGAGTTTTATTTACAAAGAATATATATTAAATAACATTTTTATTAACTATACTTAGTAAGTATGTATCTGTCCTATAAAGTCGATGACAAATATGAATAATTTTTGCTATACAAAAACACCGAGCCTTTACCAGTGTCCTCTAAGTCATTTAAACTCACTATCGATCAGGCTATACAACACTACTATCAAATTTGGAAAAATTAGACGAGAAGAAAAAAGGACTGGGGGTAACTAGTAAAAAAAAACAAAAACTTCAAATTTTTTACTAATCATCCCTAGTCTTTTTTTCTTCCAGTCTAATTTTTCCAAGTTTGACAATAGCGTCGTATCGCTTGATCAGTAGTGAGTTTAAATGATTTAGAAGACTGGTAAAGACTTGGTGTTTTATATACCACAAATCCATTTAATAAAACCACATATGGTTTGGTTTAAAACTACTTTATATTGCTAGTTTAGATCAGTTTCAATATGACTAGTTATCTATTGAGTTTTTAAAATAAGCATCTTTAATTAATATTAATAGATAATGTTTATAATGTAAACTAATTTACCTTTATAAACAAAATAATATAAATACGTTTTAATTCATAATAAAAAATTATATATTCGAACAAAATCATTTAATGAAGAGAGCAGCTGTGGATTTCTAAACTCAAATAACAATGTTAAGAAAATTACTTTTCTATCAGCGGAGTACTAAAGCTTGCACATTTGATAGACGTGCAAATTTAGACTAAAATGCTGTCAAAATCAAATGAATAAATAGATACTTATTGTACTTGAGATAAGATGATGTCATGTAAAAACTATTTCACTTATCATAAAATTTAATGGAAATTTGCCATTTTTCTCTTTTATAATGCTATATCGGATCTATATATTTTTTAATAAAATTTCATGTAATTCACCTGTACTTCCTTCGTTCGTATATACATTTGAAAATTGATAAGAAATACGACGGTATATTCATTAGAGAACAGTTTTCAAATTATACAAATTACTACTTGAGAAAAGCTAATTTAAAAATATGGCGGGTAAAGAACTAAAAAAATTAACAAATGGCATACGTTGAACTTCATTCTACCGTGTCATATGGAATGACGAATAAAAACATCTGCGTTTCAACATTCTTCAATACTTTTCAAAGTATATTTAACATCAATTTGATAAAATATAACTTCATTTCGACATGTTTACCCAATTATTTCTAACGATCAACAAATAAAGCTTAAAAGAACAAGATATATCAACATTGTGACATTCATTATTCAAAGAGTTCTTTCGATACTGATCAACTTGATTCTAAACAATAGAATCGATTGATTATTTGAATATCTTTCTAGTTCATTATAAGTCATCAGGAATTTTTACAGTTGTAAATTAAATTCACTACTAAAGATCTAGAAACACATGACATAAATTCATTCAGTTATTTTACCTCGGGTTTCAAATAGTATTTCCCAGTGCCATATGTCACAAAATGACGACTTTGATATATGAAGTGAAAAAGAAATGTGATAAAACTCTCTATAAGTACGTGATACCTTAACAAAATTAGCGTAAGACTTTATAAATTATTTATTTTGCATTGCAATAATTGTATTTTACTATTAAGAAAATGAAGTTATATATAATACAAACATGTATAAAAAGAACGAAAAAATGAATATTAATTTCAACGAATGGTTTTTTAGAATAATTATTATTTAAATATATTAGTCATATTTTTTGTTGCCACGACATGAAACCATTTAACTATTGAATTCGTTTTCTAACATATGATCTATCGCGATGGAAAATTATCAAAAAAACCATGATTTTGCTTTTTATTTTATGTTTTATGTTTTATGTTCATCATACTTTACATATACTGAGTCCACTTTAATGACAAGCTATGCTAACGAGAAAAAGGAAATATGAAATTTTCTACTTCAATCGTGTTCTCATTCTCGATGTAATTTATTTTAATTTTTTATTTCTAAAGCAAATATAATTAAAAGAAAAGCAACTAATGGAAATGAAAAAACACAAGATATGTAATAGCCAAGCAATGACATTTCATAAGAATAAAACCTAACAAAAAAAATCTCTCTCCATCAAAACCAAGAGCAAAATTAGACAAATATTAGTTTGCCGTATTTTTACGTGCATATGTTCAAGCTTTTGTCATAGAATGAGCTATGCTTACAGCATTACAGATTATCAATCTTTCAATAACTTGTAGTTATGATAAGAAACGAAACATATTAAGAAGAAAATCGACGATGATAATATTTTCATAGCTTTTTAAAATTTCCCTTTGCCTCCATGTCTTTACAATTTTCAATATTTATTTTTATGATTTATTTTTTATTAAATTTTCAAAATACAAAAACAATTATTAACAATAACAAAAACAAAAAAATCACAGAAACAACGGTAATTTTCGTCAAGAGAAAATACATCTCGAGTATATACATAAAATGAGCAACAATCATAGCAATTTGTTTTTACTATCATTCTTCTTCAAAAGCAACATAAGGAATAAATTTCAAAATCTATACATTGCATATAACATAAAGAACGGAACAAAAATATATAGCAAAAACATCACAATACTTGTGAGATTGTTGTGATTATATGCTTATAAAATTAGCATTTTTTTAATGGACAAACACACGCATACATATAATTATTCAAACTAAAAAAAAAAAGTATACAAACAAACAAACATTGACCTGAGAACAACAAAAAGAATTAACTGCAAATCGACGAGGAATTTGACTAGTTATCGATATCGAATGCAATATCATTAAGCTCTTTTTCTATTCCAATCGATTGTAAAGCAAGAACGAGGTAATCACTTAAATTAGCATATTCATTTGATTGATATCGTCGTGATAATTGAAAGCATAAACGTATTAAAGATGTACAATAATTATGCATTAAATTATCAAAATCAGCTGATAATGTTGATATTTCACGTTGTATATATTTTGTATAACGTTTAGTCATTAATATATGAGGTTTGGATTGAAAAGCTAGTTTATATTGTTCATAATTTGGTATTAAATCTGGAATATCTTCATTTGAAATATCTTCTTTTGAAATAAAACACATAAGTAATTGATGCCAACATACATCTCTAACTCTTGGTTTTTTATCTGAAGATGTTGAACCTAAGAGGAAGAAAAAAAAAATGTAAATCTTTTATTTTTTAATTATAAAAATTTCAGTTTACATTCATCAAAAATCTTTTGTCTTTCAATCCAATAATTCATTATTTCAATAAATAAAATTTTTGTTAATTTTATTGAATTTGTTTGTTGATCCTGTTCAGATATTTCTCGTTTAATACTCTTTTCATTCGTTGGTTTTATTGAACGTATAAATAAACAACCTTTATCAAAATAATCGGATAAATAAATTTTTAATTTTAATTGATTTTCTTCCATTAATCGTTTAGCCATATTACGCATTGCACGTCCTATAACAATATATTTTGATGTCGAAGTATCATGTGATTTTTGATTTTGTCTTTTTATTTCAATAATAAATGAACTAAATAACCATGGAAAACTAAGTATACGTGAACGAGCTTTTGTTGATTGTTTAGCAGCAGTAGAATAACAGATGTAATAACAAGCAACTGCACGTGCTAATTTAATATCGTTACATTTTTCACATGAACGTTCACGTTCACGTTCACGTATTAATCTAATATCTTCAGATTTATCCAATACACGTTCATGTGTACATATACCATCATGTGGTGGTTTTGATGTTGGATCAATAGATAATTGATCGAAATCATGAAAAAAACGTAGACGTATTGTATCAATTAATCGTTGTAATTCAAGACCAGCTGATATATTGATATCTTGTTTTCCTGATACTAATTGATCAAGTGCTTCACATCGACAAAATAAATCAATTTCATCTTGATAATTAAATACACTGATAATATTTTGTAAACCTTCACGATACATGTAATATAAAGTCTTTGCTAAACGTAATTGACTTCGACATAATGGATGCTGTATTGAAGGATCAAGAGTTAATGATGGTTCATAACGGATTGTATCATTATATGAGTATCCTTGAATTGAATTAAAAAAAGATGGTGAAGAATTATGATTTACTGTAAGACTTTCATCATTATGTAAATCATCTTCAATCTGTGCTGAATGTAAATGACGTAGACTACAATGAGTTCGAGCTGCTTTATGCCAACGAATTATTGCACGTCGAGCTGATCGATATAATTTTCCTAAATGAAAATATTAATGAATTTTAATATATAGAATTTTCAATAGAGTATTGGTTAATCTACCTATAACTTGATCTGATGCATAAGATTGATAGCGTTCTTTCATCATAAAATCTGGATAACGACCTTGAAGTATTTCATTTCGATAAACATTTAATCCTTCACTAGTTATGGGATGTTTTCCAGTTTTAGGTGCATCTAGTTCTTGTGAAATAAGACCAGCTAGTTCGCAAACTCTTAAATCACGTGTACCTAATAAATCAGCCGTTGCTAAATGTAAATTCGACATATCACCAGTTAAATTTTGTGCAGCTATATCAAGAACGACTTCAATAATATGCTTTCGTTCGATAGGACAATCGAGCTTAACTGGCTCATCAGCTGAATCATAATCATATGGTATATCATTATCCGTTGTTGGAATTAAATCTGGATCCCAGATAACAGCATATTCATCACCTAAGAAAATAATATTTGATAATACAAAAAATAAAATTCAAATTTTTTGTTTTAACTAGACTGTAAAATTATAATCATCATCACTTACCATCAAGATCACTTCCTGATATTTCATTTGGATGTGGTCGAGGACCTTTTTGTGGAAAAACAACAACATCAACAAGATGTCTTAATTCAATTTTATCAACTGCTGTAAATGTTCTTAAATCACCTGGATGATGGCAAGGATTTTTTGTTATAACAACTTTAACTTTATCTAAAACTGTTGGTGGTGTACTAGTTGGTTTCTCGCTTGCTTCTAATTTTTCATCACTAATATGATTATATTGTATAAATACTTCTCCATATTCAAGTACACCATATTCATCAACAATACCAAACATATTTCTTGCTTTATTTTTTGCTGTTTTAATTTTTGCACGTTGTTGAAATTTTGATACACAATCATGACCACATGTAATGAGAAGTTGAAGAAAAAATGGTTCTTCAACAAGATTAATTGCATTAGCTATATCACGAAAATTAAAATATGTTGAACCAACACGATCATTTAATAATTCAAATGCAATTGATGAACAAAGTAAAGCTTGAACAAGCCATAAATGATTTTCATTTTGTAAAACAAGAAAATGTGCTTCAGGTACACCACGTGTTGATAGAAGAAGAATATCTTGACGATTAAGATAAAGTGCACCTTAATTATAGAAAACAAAACAATTTATTAATAATTTATTTTCAATAACTACATACGAGGAGAAGAAACTTTACAAATTTCTAATTGATCATGTTCAGTTTTGAATTTAAGCATTGAATGACGAATTACAAGTTGATGAGGTTTATCATCAAGATTTGGATCAACAGAAACAGTTCCTAGAGAAAGAAAAAAAAAGATACATTCTTGAAGAAATAAGTTTAAATGATATTGAACCTTTACAACCACCATATCGAATTTGTAATACACTTGGCATAAAACGTCTGCCCATTTTTTTTTGTACCTAAAATTTTGAAATATTATTTTTAAGAAAAATATCATTCAATTTCATATTATGACTATGAATATAATCAGAGATGCAGAATCTTCCTCATATACTCCCGCAGAAAAGTATCGTCTGATACAGTTCTTTTGAACTGGTTGAAAAAATTCCTTTGTCATATGAACAGAATAATAAGACTTCAGTAATTCAAAACAAACCTTTTGACATAACGCCTTTGATATAGTACCAACTCCATCAGTAAAACAATATTGTTTATCGTTTGTTTTAACATCAGGAATATATTTGACAAGTTCAGCAGGAATCTACAAGTAAACAAAAATTGATAGAGTATAATTCAATTGATATATATATATATATGTATATATGTATACTCTTATAGATGGTTCAGTTGATGTAAAACATTGAGCCATTCGAGCAGCATGTTTTGCAACAATACGTTCATTATCAAAATTTCCCATCCATGATAAAATATTTTCTAATGAATAACGTTTATCAAGAAACCAAAATTGTTTTTCTTTAACTTGTGACATTGAATGATGTAAATAACAATAGACAGATTTATTTATCTGAATACCATCTGTAAGTATTTGTTTAAATTTATCTCTTAATGAACGAAAATCACGTGCATATAATGGTCTATTAGCTTCATCACGTATTTCAACAAGTGCAAAACTCATTGGATCATTGAAACTTTGTTCACGAATAACACGATGAAGTTTAACAAGTTTTAAAGGTTGTATCTGAATTGTTGTTGGTGTTACACGTATAGATGGAACATATGCAAAACTAAATATAATAATATCAAATTCTTCTTTCCGTCCCATATACTCATGAAATTTCGATAAATTAATATAAGAAAACATACTTTATTCTTGGTGGTGATAAAATCTTTGCCATTTTTACTTTCAATACATTACATTGATCTAACTGAATTGTATATTGACTATCAGCTTCCTTTAATTCATTATGAAGCTATAATATTATAAAATAAAAAAGATGTGAAATACATCATTTTGTATATCTTACATTTAAAAAATGATATTCAGTTGCTCGTCGAAATAAATAAAGACATAGACGATAGAATTTATCATCATCATCACCTGCTAAATGAAGTAATGAGTCTCGAAACTTATCTAGTTGAGATATTTTTTGTTCAATTAAATAACCAACATTTTTTAACATTGAAAATGCATAAAGTTGAATTGGACGTGTAAATATTTTATTTGTTGAACTTCGAATATTTGTTAAACAACCTCGTTGAAATTTAATTGGAGCAAAACAAACAAGTATTTGATTACTATAAAAAAAATCTAATAAAAATCCAAATAATTCTTTCACTTGACTTAATGCAAGATATTTATTTTCAGTATTATTATAACGATTTGTTCGATTAGTTTTAACCAATATATGTAAACATATTGTAGAAAATATTGGACAATCATTATCTTTTGACGATATACGATCTGTTTGTGCACGACTTTCAGCTAATTTAATTATTAAAAATAAAATTATAAAATGAAAATTACAAAAATAAATAATTATTTACCGTGATAACTAGTTCGTTTATATTCATGCATATTGCCTTTAGTACATATATAAACAGTAAAACCTAATCGATGAACGGTAAATATAACTGCTCGATCAATTAATTCGGTTGGTAGAACTGATTTTCGAAATGTTTTTGTAAAACTATCGTCACTATGGCGTACAAAATTTTCTAATCGATCAAGTTCGATTTTTTTAGATCGAAAAAGTATCTAAACAAATTATTTATCATTAGTTCACCTATATTATGAAACTCGACAAAAATTCTATAGGCTTTCTATTGGTCATATATTCCCACTAGTTTTCTTCTTAGGTATGAATAAAATTTAGAAAAAAAGGATAATGAACGATATGTACAAGTCTAATTTTAGGGGAACCGGAATGTTCAGCACCGGATTTTTCAGCACGCAATGTTCAGTGCACGAATATTCGGCACAGTAATTATTCAGTACATGAAAATATCAGCACCAAGAAAAATTAGAATCTTGAAGGTGGGTGTGGGCGGGCACCAGTAGTGTATTGTAATCGCACATCTACTCCCACATAAACCCACATCAACACCTACACTCACGCCCAACCACCCACACCCATACCCACTCTCAAGATTCTAATTTTTCTTGGTGCTGAATAATTACTGTGCTGAACATTCGTGTGCTGAAAATTCCGATGCTGAACGTTCACTAATCCTAATTTTAGCGAATCAGTATTAGAGGTAATTCGATCTCACATAACTCTTCTAGGGTCTATTTATCGAAGTAATATTATTAGCGTAAAATCTAAAAATGATTTACCGTCCATTCTGTTGTTTTTCGAAACGTATATTCAGGATGATAATAAAAATCATTCATTGATGTTAATGCACCATATGATAAACTAACATGAGTATCACGAAAGAATTTTATTCGAGCTAATACTGAATTGTTTCTTATTGGTTGTACTGGGCTTATACATGATTCAGTATCAATATTAAATTTTATTTCATTAAAAATAGGTCGTCGTTGAAATACAAGCCAGAATTGACTATCTGGTTCTGATAGAAGAATCGGAGATATAGATGCGAGTGGTGGTTTTAATTCTTCTGTACTATTTTGTTTTTGAGATTCATAATCTTGAAGATGATATAAACGTGTTGTTCGTGAATTTAAACAAAATGACCATATATCAGCATAATGACGACTTGGTTCATTTGGAATTTTAAATTCAGTAAGTTTACGAAGAGCTCTTTTATAACCACTTTCATTATCAAAAACAATTTTTGTTGTACTTGCATTAAATGAAAAATCAATTGTTTCATTGAAGCTCTCCTTCTAAATTTAAAATTATTTTATATGATATTACATTTTAATAAAAAATCTAGATATTTACTCCATGAGATTGTGTATGAAGTCCTCCTCTTGGTAGAGTAGTTCGTGTAGTTATTTTTGTTATCTTTTTTGTTATTGTTGTTGTTGTCGTTGCTAGATTTTCAGTATTTTCTTTAATTTGTTCAACTGATGAAAGTTCGGATTTATATTCATTCTTAACAGTAACACAATCGACTATCACAGGTGTTGTTGTTGTTGTTGGACTTGGACTTGGAGGACTCTAAAATTGAAATGTTTGACTTTGAGTAAAAAGAAAAAAGAAACATTATTACTATAGATATTGATCGTACACCACGACCCCAACCAGTAGAAAATGGACGTGATGGCAATGAAGAAAATTCCGGTGAAGATAGTAAGTCATTTACATGGGCATTATTAAGTTCGGCGACTAGAATAGGATCATCCTGTTCTTCTTCAATTTCTTCTTCTTCAACATTATTGTCATCACCTTCTTCATCTACATCGTCTTCTGGTTCTGGTTCTTCTTCATCATCATCAATATCTTCTCCAGATGAACGTCGATGTAAAAGCTGTAGAGATGTATGAGCTTCTGGATTAATCACAAATGTATTTGTCGAAGTTATTGCGGTATCAGTAAATGGATCTTCTGTCATTAGTGACATAATCAATTAAAATGTGTCAAACCAATTTGTGTTTTTCTTTCATTTATTTACCCATTAATTGCCGTATCACGATCAAAGTATCTAAAGTGAGTAATTCTCTTCTTCTTCTCAATTAAATAAGTTCACTTTTCAAATTTTCATTGGTTATTTAAAATCGTTAAATAGGGTAATCTGCTATAGTTGTCGCTAACTTTTATCAATGTATCACTTTTTCATTATCTATAATAAATAAAATAATATCAAAATATTTTTCTCAAAAAATATAGCTAAATGTTTATTTCTTTTTATTTATTATTAATAGTTTTGCTGACTATATCGTTTACTTTGTGTTATCTAACTCATGTGATCCTCTTCGTTATCATCGAAGAGCATTTAAATCAATTGTCTTTGCCTTATTTTTGAATCATTTTTGGAAATAGTGTATTCCCTATTATCAATAACCTATGGATTTGATTTTGTAACAGAAATTAAGCAATATCGCTAAGATTAACGAAAATATTTCTATGTTCATTACAGGACTCTATTTACTTTCTTTCAAGTGTAAATCTTTATACACGTGAAAGTAGCTTCGTCATCTTTGGATAATGATGTCGGACTTTCCGACACATTTTATATCAATAAATTTTTCATCCTATCTCTTTGCAGTTGAAATATCAGACTACAAGAAAGATTTAAAGGTAATATAGTAGATCAATCTTCCTCCCTGAATAGTCCCAATCAACTGCCAGATCTATTATCTAATGTACAAAGTAGTACAGTAATCCAGATTAATTATTTATTCATCTAATATACACATCAGATTACATTATGAGAATCAGAACTAATAAATTTCAATAGTATATGTAATAAGATCATGAAATAATGTATGACATTGAGAATACTTCAGGCAGAGAGGGCATTTTCTTATTTATCAGTACCGAATACTTGTATTTAATTTTCTAGTCTATTGTTAATTCATCATCAAAGAGTATATATATTTTATCAAAGCTTGTATTCAAAAACAAAAAGAACAACAAAAAAAAACACTATCAATCAAATCTAAATAACGACAAAAACCAAAAAGACTTGATCATTTGATTAGCACTTCTTAACTGTTCAAGACGATATTCATACATGATACAACGAATACACAATGTTAGTTAATCACAATTATTCTTTGTTATCTCAGCTGGTTTAATAAAATATTTTCAGATTAAAATATCTGACAGGAAATGAATAATTGTAAAATAAATAAAAGAAACTTGTTCAAGAAGTAAATGACCAACCTAAAAATAAATCATCAAATCATTAAAAAGAAATAAAAACAAAATAGAAATATTTGCCTGAATTCATTGAAGGTAATTTATCACGATCACGTCCATTATGACCACCTCGTGGATTAATAGAACCTAAACCAAAAAATCGACCTCCACCACCATTATCACGATTACCAAAACGATTTTGACCACCACCAAATTCACGTTTCCTATCTTGCATTGCTTTAAAACGGTCAGCCATGACACGTAATTCACCTGGTACATTCTAATAAAATGAATGAAATATTATTACTAATTAATATTAGTGAAAAAATAAATAATTACTTGTCCAGCTTCTTCTAAAATCTTTATAAGTCGACCAGCACCAGACCAATTTTCTCGTGTAACTAATGAAATTGCATAACCTACAAAATATCATAATGTAAATCATATATTCTTACAAGAAATATGTACCTGTTTTTCCAGCACGACCTGTTCGTCCAACACGATGAACATAATCTTCCATTGATTTTGGTAAATCATAATTAAAAACAACTCTTAATATTAGGAAAAAAACGGTTTCTGTCAATTTTCATTGAAAAACAAAACAAAATTTTAAATTACGTTATATCTTGAATATCTATACCACGCGACGCTACATCCGTAGCGACAAGAATATTTACAGTACCTAACTTCAAATCTTCAAGTGCTTGTTCGCGATCACTTTGTTCACTAAGAAACAAAAGAATATTATTTTTTCGGAAAAATAAAATTTCAAAACTTTACCGATCACCATGAATCGATTGACAAGAAATATGTTTTCGAATAAGTTCACTTGAAATATTATCAGCTCTACATATCAACCAAAAAATTTAGATATTTATTATAATAATAATAAACTTACGTAGATTTACGATCAACAAAAATAATTGCTTTATCATCTGGACCCATTCGACCAATAAAATCTAGTAACTAAAATCAAAATAAACAGTTATAAACATCAAAAATAAATTTTCTTTACTATATCAAATTTTTCTTCTTCTTTAACAATTTCAATATCTTGTTGGACACTATGTACAGCCTAGATAAAAATAAAATTTATTAATAGAATGAAATACAAATATACCAAATGCATACCGCTAAATCGAGTGAACCGATGTAAATCTGAACTGCATTATGCATATAACGTGAAGCAATACGTCGTACTTCTTCCGGCCATGTTGCACTGAAAGTAACAACGAAAATAATCAATATAATTATCTAGTATTTTTCTTTTATGATTTAAACCTAGTCATAATTGTTTGTCGATCTGGTCGAATATCAAGAAGAATTTTGACAATTTGTGGTTCAAAACCCATATCTAACTAAAATTATAATAAAACAAAATTATATTAGTTTGAATAACAATATAACATTTATCTTACCATACGATCAGCTTCATCAAGTACCTAAATATATATAGTAATGAATATTATTTTCAACAATAAAATTTTTTTATTTCCTACCAGAAAAGTAACAGATCGAAGATCAATAACATTACTCATAACAAGGTCATTGAGACGACCTGGTGTTGCAATTATAATTTCAACACCTTAAATAAATAAAATATATAAATATATTTTTGGAATATTATTTTTTAAAATCTCATACCTGTTTCACATTGATATATTTGATTCTTTCGACTACTACCACCATAAATAACAGCACTGTATAAATCAAATTAAATAGATAAAAATCTTATTTTTTTAAATTTAAATTCTTCAAATAAACTAACCTACGAATACCACGATAACTATATTTTTGTACTTCTTGATGAATTTGAATTGCTAATTCACGTGTTGGTGAAAGAATAAGTGCTTTAGGACCATGTATAGGTGTTTTAGTTCTAGAAAATAAAAAACGATTTTCTTAAATCTCTATTTCATTCATCAATATGCATGAAATTACTTACTGTGGTTGATTATCAATATGAATAAGTGCAGGTAATAGAAAGGCAAGTGTTTTTCCAGTACCAGTCTATTAATAAAAAAAATATATATATGAAATAGATTCAAATATTTCTTAAAATAAATCAATACTTGTGCAATACCAATAAAATCTTGACCACGTAGAGCAACCGGCCATGATTGGCATTGTATTGGTGATGGTTCAAGAAAACCTTGTTTAGCAATTTCACTCATGATTTCTGGATAATTATGAAAAGCATGAGCAAATTCATAGATTGGATTTGGAATTGTTAATTGACAATTATTTTTCTTTTCATATTCTTCTTTTGCCGATGAATCAAACCATGAAACAACAATATTATTTTTTTCTAAACGTAATGCTTCAACATCATCAGTAGACATTTGTGCTATATCAGATAATTCATGATAAAATTCTTTAATAACTGGTGGAAAATCTTTCCATTTTGTCATATCATTTGCGGTATCTGTTCGACGCATTTTATTCCAGTCAACACGTTTATTTCCATCCGTATTCCATAATGACGCCGAAGGAAAAGCCGATGCCATAGTATCTTTAACTTGTTCAGATTTATATTTATTTGATTTTTCGTCATCAGAACCAAACAATGCATTATAATCTTCATCTTCTTCATCACCTGCAGCAAAACGACGATTAGATGATTTACCGGATTTAAATTGAGGAGCTGGAAATTCATTTGTATTACGATTGTTTGATGGACCTAATATATTTTGATTGTAGGAATAGATAAATGAATAAGTAGAAAAATCAAACCTGTAAAACCTCTGCCACGCGGACTAAAGGTATTTTGATCATTTCGATTATTCGACGAGAAAAAATTATTCTGATCACTTCGATTGTTTGATGAGAAAGAATTATTCTGATCATTTCGATTGTTTGATGAGAAAAAATTATTCGAATTTCTCGGCATAGTTTCATTTGGTTTTGAAAATGATGATGAATTATTCGCAGTAGAATCTAGAAAAAAGTTTTATTATAATAAATAGAAAACTTATAAAAATACCTGATTTAGAAAATGATTCATTTTTTTCTTTAATAGAACCTATTATAGTTTTAATATGATTAAAACCATTATTAATAGCTTGATCATTTGAACCCGATATCGTTACATCAACCCATTGACTTTGACGATCATTACAAATTTTTATTTGAACATCATTGTCTTTTTGTATTTGTTTAATAGTTGCACCACCTTTACCGATTACACGAGATACATCATTTGTATCAATTACATAATCACGTGAAATTCCTTTTGCTGAATAATTGTCATTATTACGATCGGAATTATTCGCTGAGTAATTATCATTATTACGGTTGAAACTATTTGCTGAATAGTTATCATTATTACGGTTGAAATTGTTTGCTGAATAATTATCATTATTACGACTGAAACTATTTGCTGAATAGTTATCATTATTACGATTGAAATTATTTGTTGAATGTGTAAAATCTTGGAAAGATTTATTATCTTTTCGATCAAATACCTGTGATCTGGAAAAAAAACTAAATCAAAATACTAATTAATTAAGAATTTTTTTACTCTTGTTTTCCATTATTATCATCAATTTCAGCATCCCAATCATCACTTGTACATTGAATCTGTTGTTGTGAATAATTACGTTCGTTACGATTATTATCAAAACGAGGATTAGTCACATTTGTTTGATTACGAATGGAATTCGAGTTTGTAAATGTTCGAGATACAACTAATAAATTTTATTTTTCTAAATTAATTTTTATCTATGACAAAAAAACATCTTTACTTACATCGATTATTTGCCATAATAAATTTTACTGATTATCTAAAATATTTGTGAATGAAAATTATATTCAACTCTGATATAAATATATACTGACATCGTACAGGAATATAAAAATACCCAAATGATGACGAATTTCTTTCCTCGTATGGGATAGAAGAGAACAAAAGAACTATTTTTATTCTATGTATTGCACAATCTAATCGATTTCTTAAGGGAAATTTAATATAACTAGAATTTTGAAAAAAAGTCAATGTATATAACAACCGATAGTTGTAGCTTTTCGAAATATAAAACAAATTTCATCAATACCATACGAATCTTTATTTACAGTAAATTGCCATTTATTGTATATATTCAAAGTATAGGATATTTTCATTAGAGAAAATATAATCGTGACGAAGCTGTATGAAACTCGATTGAGCTTAAAGTATGTCAAACCATGTGGAAAAATCTTTAAGATGTATATCTTGCTCCAGGACATATTAAAATTAACTCAAATTTTGAATTAAATTCGATTATGTTCAATATCTTCTCTTCTATTCTTGATTTAAAAAACATTTGTTTCATGATTAGATCGTCTCTTCTTTTATCCAAAAAAAAAATATTATAACATGTAATAGACGAGAAAGAAAAGAGAATACAATCAACTGCAAAGCTGTGCTAAATTTCAGAGTGAATATAAAAATGTTTCTAATCACAAGACAAAAAATATAACGAGATTTAAATTTTACTCGTGTTTGTTTTAACTTTAAAGAAGATAGATCAAAAATAAAAGAAAAGAAGAACAACAAAAAAAAGAAAGAAAGAAAAATCTTTTCAAGATCTTGGTTAACAATCATCATTCTATATATTATATCTATTCAGATCTAATGAACAATCTTTTCTTGACTAGTATTATCACAAAAGAAGAAAAATAATGAACAAAATCCATGACTAGACAATTCTATGAATAGTCCTAGTATAAATAAAGATATCACCAATACAAAAAGAAACAGAACAATTAATCACTACACGGAAGTAGAAAAAAAATTAACAAAAAGAAAAATAATCGATTCAGTCTTTATCTGACATTAAATGACTGTTCTTGATTGTTGATTAAAACTTAGTTTTCATCAGCAGTAATTGCAGCTGTTACTTGTTCATTAGATGTTAAATCTTTTTCATGTTCATTCGAAGTTAAATCTTTGTCTTTTTCTTGTTCATCATAATGAATTGATTCTTCAACCTATTGTTTAACATAAAATAGAGTTTTGAAAATTTTTATTTAGATTGAATTTACTTTATTATCTTGTTCTGATTTTATTGTTAAATCTTTTTCTCCATTTGTATGTGTTGATGATGAATTAAAAACTCGGGCTTTATTTGGTCGATTACGTCCGACAAGACGTTGTTGTTTTCTAGCTGCATTTTCATCATTAGCAATACGAATTTTTTCTAATTTATCAAGTAATGAATCAAATAATTCTTTTGATGTATCATCTAATGCATGATAATATTGTTTTTGTATCCAAAAACCATCATCGGTTGTACAATCAATTTCTTTTGTTTCTGGACATGTTCTCTTAGATTTATGTCGTGGTGATACAGATGATGAATTTGATGATGATGAACCACCATTTTGTTGATATTGACAATCATTTGATGTACGATTATGACCATTATTTGTATTATTAAAATCATTAACTTCTCCAGGACGTTTATCTGTTTTACGTGAAGCTGATGTTGGTCGATGAGTAAAATCAAATGATGGAGTATTTTGAAAATTATATGATGGTTGAGGTAATTGAGTACCATTACCAAAATGTAAAGGTCTTGTCATAAAACCTTCAAGTAATAAATATATATATCTATGTATGTTAAAGAACAAGAAAAATCAATATATATCTACCTGGTTCTCTTTGTGTATGATGTAATTCAGGTGGTGCTGTCAATGACATGGATTGTTGTTGTTGACGATTATTTGAAAATGTATGTTGCTGAGAATGTTCAAAATTTTGATTAGGTACAGAAAGTTGTGGTTGATCATTTTGTGGTGAATTTTGATATGGTGAAGATTGTGTTGGAAGATCAACATAGTGAGATTCAAGTACTTGTACAGCTTGATCATCTTCATTTCGTAAATAACTACGTATTGTATCAATAGCAAAATTAAGATTACGCGTTTGATATGCAGATATTGTACAATCAGTGTAACCATTATCATTTGGATGACGTGCAACAACAATATCACGTAAATGACATTTTGATTGAATACGTCTTAGAGTAGAACCACGTGAGCCTTAAATTTGAATATAAAAATAAAGATTAGCGGAAGGAGAAACAAAACTACAAAAAGATCAAAATTAACATACCAACAATACGTGCAACACAATTACTTCGAATAAGAAGAATTTGTTCATATGCACCATTATTTCGACCACGATTAAAAAATGTTCGTTCATGATAATTATTAAATGGTGATGATTGCCCTTGATATTGTTGAGATGGTGATTGACGATAATTATTATTATTATTATTATTATGTTCATAACGACGTTGTTGTTGTGGTTGTTGTTGATGATAATCATTATTATTATTATTATTATTATATTTTGTACGTTGATAGTTATTAGAATCATTATTGGTTTGTTCTTCATCAGCTGCAAACAAGATGTGTCTAATTTATTTGTTTGAAATGTAAGTTATTTACCTTTGTACGGTTGAACAGGTACACCTAAAACATCATTGATAAATGCAGTTAATTGAAGTGCAGCATCAGTTATATTCTCATATAATTCACCAGTAATCGAAAGTTCATTTTGCCATTGTTTATCACCAAATTTAGGTAATTTAAAAGGCTATAAAAGAATATTAAATAAATAATCGAGATAATTCTCTCTGATTCTTCTCTTATGAAAAGCTCTAATGATATATTTATTTCAGTTTTTATTCCTTACGAGAGAACTCACAGATATAAATGATTACATTCATATACAATAGTCTTATCTATCATTTAAAAGATTTACAATGCTCCGAATAATAACAGATCTCTCCTAATAATTCCTCTATTGCATATGCATTCTTCTTACATTTATCACAGTAACTTTTAAACGTTGTTGTAATGAACCAGCAAAAAAATTCCAATTTTCTATAATAAATCAATAAATCTAATTTATACGTAACACATATCAAATAAAAATTTATACTTTTGAGTACTTCTTGTCCTTGACTTGTAATAAGTATTGTAAATGTATATTCCGGTTTTCGTTCAAGTGGTACAAATTTCAATTGTTCTTGTTCAGTAGTTTCATCTTTAGTATCACTTTTTTCTTCATTTGTATTTGATGTTGATGGCGCAAAAGGTTTTTTTTCTTCAGTAATCGAAGAATCAGGATTAATCGTTGTTACAAATATTGATGTTGGTTGTGAAAGGGATTTTTCATCAGTTTTTTCATTATCTACATACGAAAAAAAACTAAAATAACTACGAGAATATTAATAAAAAAAAACTACCTGCTGAAACTTCTGTTTCATGAGATTCTTCGTTATTAGTTGTCATTGTTGATTGATTATTAGTTTCAGTATCACCTTGATTTGTTGATCGTGTTGATGGTTTATGTGGTCGATTCATAATTTCGATAAGACATTTTCTTACATTAGCCTCTGTACCAAAAACTTTAAACGAATGTTTTGGAGGATTTTGATAAGCCGGCTAAAAAAAACAGCAAAATCAATAGTAAAATATCAATAAGATATTAAAAAATAATTACAAATATGTTAACATTGAATGTTTTGGAAAGAGATTGTAACGTTGAATTTTCGTCTATATAAAAGAAAGAATAATATAAATTTGTTATTATTTTCTCTAAAAAATTTTTTTATACCATCATGTCGTCCAAGTAAATGTTTTCCTTGTCGATGATCAGTTAAAAATCGAATATTACAAGAGTTGGTGTCTGATACTTGATAGTTATTATATTTTTCCAAAAGTTTTTCTCGATCACCTTGTTCAGTTGAATAACGAATATCTTGTGGAAATGTTATTCGACGTGTTGGTTCTTGTTTATTTGAATTTGTTGATTCATTTAAGATTTTATTTTCCGATGAAGGTGAGGAAGATTTTTCATTTTCATTTGTTTCATTCGTTGATTGATTTTCATTAGTAGTTTCATTTTCAGAAGCAATTTTTGCCTCGGGTAATTCTTGTTCTTGATTGCTCATGATTTAATCTATGAGAAACGAAAAAAATAACATCGAATAAAATAATGATTCGTAAACGTGATTGTTATTGTTATTGTTATTGTTGATTTGTGAAAAAATTCAAAAATATGGGAAAGATAAAAACTAGGTGAAATTTGGAATAATTCCAAATTTTAAAGGGAAGTTTTTGAAAAGTTTTATTATGAAATTCTATGAGATTTTGTTTTTATTAATTATTTCAACTATTTTCTATAAATAACCAGAGATAAGACTTGCCATAGATGGCAGTGTTACGCATGGATTAACAATTGTTTAATTATACGCTTTGTCAATTAGATTAGTAAATCTAACTTTAAAATCAAAACAAATACTCAACGTTTATTAATATCATAAAATTTTGTTATTTTTTATATAGTGATGATTATTCAATCGCAATTGATAATTCAATAAATCTTTCGCTTAAAAAGAATTCGAAAAAAAATCTTTTTTTTATAAATAATAATAAAAGAAATTTATAACATTAAATACGTATCCATTGATTTAAGAGATTACGTAATCTGAGAAGCATGATATGTTATCTATATGAATGTCAAACATTGCGTACACTGTTAGAAATTATTTTATAAATACAATGATTCTCAAAATATCGTTTCGATAGAGTTTATAATGATAAAATACAAAGGTTTTCGATTTCACTATATTATCTATAGTATGTGATGAAATCTTACATACAAACTATGTTGATATTATTCAATGATTATGTTGTAAACTTTTAAAATATTTTTTTTTATATTTCACAATTTAAGAATCATTAGTCGATATGAAAAGAATAGAACTTTTTTATTTTGTATTATGATATTATTCAAGCTTTTATTGGTTTATTTAATTAAATAGAAATTATAATCTTAATTAATTCCATGATGTTTAAGTTCATTTCGCATTTGAACACCAACACAAAAACTACAGAAAGCAGTTGTACAATAATCATCGCACGCACCACCCTGAAAGATGAATTATAAACATTCAATTCGACTATTGTTAGTGTTTTATTTAACTTACTCTAATATGTAAAATAGATCGAACTTTCATACGATACACAGCGAGTGCATTCGGAACACATAAACATGACCATTTCGATTCATCAATTGAATCAGCTAATGAACCCATAAAACAACACCAACAAAAATATGCATAACAACCTAAATAATACATTACTTGTTAAGAAAATATCAATATATTAAATATTAATCTTACATTGTGACCAATCATCGGTACAACTGCATAAACCTGTGTGCCATTCGTTCTTATATGTTCGAAATGGGTCAGCACTTGGCATTGGTTGTTGAATAGTTACATATGGTATTTGTTGAGGATGAATTTGTGACATCACTTTAATTATATCAGTCTGTATTAATTAACTTGATAATATCAATGTACACTATATAATATTGTTGCTTTTTGCAGTATGCGAATGAATACAAGATTGAAAAAAATAGTTTGTTAATATAGGGCAATGATATGAGTTGTTTGAAGCGTTGCTACAACAAAATATGATTTGATATCATCACATGCGTCACAAAATAGGTCAGCAAACATTTTTTTGTTATAGTCATTCTACTATCTTTATCTTAATATTATTTGTCACCAAGGATTTGTCAACAATTATTTGCTATTATAACATCTTTCAGCCTTGTAATAAAACAACAATAAACTAGAATCAAAATGTACTCACGTATTCATATATCAAAACTACCATAAAAATGTTAAAATACACCTCCACAACAATTTCTTTCGATATAAATATTTCGTATAGTTTGCAAAAATACATTATATTATAAGATCTCTTTGACATAATATCATATTCTTTTTCTAATATATAAAAATGTTCAATTGAAATTAGTTTGATATAGAATAATCATGAAACTTTTTTTCCGTAAATATCACAATAAACGATATAATATTTAAATGATATAGAAATTTGATTAATGAAATCATTGAGTGCAAATTTTAACTTATCAATATCTTGTTTTATTATCCTTTTTATGACCTTCGTGTTCTATATCCATTCATCGATAATAATGTTTTTCTTTTACATAAGAAATATATATCAATCTAATTTCTTATTCAATTTATATACTAAAATTTTATTATTATAACATAATGAATGTTCTATATACAATATGACATAGTATTTCTTTTTACTTTTAGCTTATTAAAACTAGGGCAATGATAAAAACAAACGATTGCTGTTTTGTTATTATCATCGCATCGTTTATTAACGTTGTCTTCTCCTATTTCTTTCCTTCATTTTGACTCGATTGCAAATGAGAAACCTTTCATTTACTCATTTACGCTTATTTTTCCTCTCATATCTATATGTTGCTTTCTTTATTATCAGAACTCTATATCCGGCGGCAATAAGGAAACAAGAAAAAGACAGCTAACAAACCATACACATATCTTCTTGTCGTGACTTATTGTTTAGGAATAAATATTATAATATATATATATATTAACATCGGTGACGTTTTCAACAGATGTCGCTTATATTCACTATAGATTTAGTTTATTTTTATACTTTAATATGAAGTGAATCTTCTTTTTCAATAAGAATATAAAATTTCATATGTACTTTATTCTTATTTAACCTAATTTCATGAGAAATAAATAAATATATATACATTTATATATATATATATTGTTGTCGTCGACGAGCATTGGTGTATTGCTCAAGATGGCTACTTTTGCTTACATGCATCCAACCACCGACAACTAACTACTTCTAGCATATGAGGGAAGAGGGAGAAAGAGTAATAAAGTTGTAAAAAAAAAGAGTGTATGCATGTATAATGAACAAAGGCTATCAGCTGGACACGAACAGAAAAAGAAAAAAGAAATATTGAATGACCTTTTTAGATTGTTGATTCATCTTCAAGCAGCGTTACCGATCTCTATCTATCAGAACAACGTCTATACAATTGATCCTATTACAAAACTTGATTGATTTGTTATTATCGTGCAGATTAAAATATCACAACAGCTATAAATATATATATCAAGTGATTTATATGATAATTTCGTCGTTATTTTTCATTTATTGTCATTTAAATCAAACGATTTAAGGTGACTGGAATTTTCTTTTTTTTTTCTTGAATACTCTTTGGTGTCTATCGGCAACGATTATGTAAACAACATCGTCATTATAAGTGTATTAATACGTATTACATCAGCCAGTCATATCGTCAAATCGGATAACATTGACAAGACACACCCATTACAATAGGTGTGTCATAAAATTTATTAATTTCTAGTACGTTGATATATATATATATACTGGAGACAAAAAATATGCGCTCCGAGCAAATTATCGACGAGTAAGATTTTATAAGTAGATCGTATCGTATATAATTTTTCTTTCGTTGTTTTTTTTTCTAGTGTCGATGGTCGCTCAAGAAGTGAAATAAATACAGAAGAAGAAACTGATGATGAAGAAGAAGCATCACAATCACCAACAACACATAAGAAAACTGATAAAAAACGAAAGTAAATAAATTTTTTCTATTAAATTTTAATTACAAAACATTTTCTCTATCGATATATTATAGAATAACTCATAGTGAAATCGAACGTCGTCGTCGAGAAAAAATGAATCGTTATATAGATGAAATAGCTCAATTACTTCCAATAGATGCTGCTAAAAAACTTGATAAATTAACTGTTTTACGAGTTGCTGTTGATACAATAAAATATCTAAAAGGTAAGACAAAGAAAGAAAGAAGATATATATTATAAAAAACGATAAAACAAATATATTTGTTTTTTTCTTCATCCAGGTGCATCTTCAAAAGTTTTATCAAGTGGTTTTGGAAAACAGATATATTTAAATGATCAAGAATTACTAGAATTAACATTAGCTACAATTGATCAAATGGGTTCATATTTTTTTCTTATTATTGAATGTCAAAAAGGTCGAATATGTTATGCATCACATTCAACTGAAACATTATTTGGATATAAACCAGTTTGTTGAAAAATAATACATACGTTCTTTTCATCTGAATATATTTTATTTTAAATAGGCAGAATTATGTTCTCAATCTATATACGATATTACCATTGCAGATGATGTTGAAATAATCAAACAACATTTAGTAAATGAAACTAAAACATCAACATCATCAACATCATCAACTAACAATGATGATTTATCAAATGATTCAAAACGTATTAATTATTTCAAAATTTATTTTTCGAAAATAAAATATCTTTTGAATTTATAGCTGTTTCATTGATAACAACAAAACAAAATTGGTTCGAAACAGGCAATCGACGAGCATTCTCATGTCGTATTAAGTCAAAACTAAAACGATCAAATAAAAAACCAACAACAACAACAACAACAACAAATTCATCTAGTAATATATTTTCAATTGAATTTATTGTCTATATATTTTTAATATAGATGATTATGTTACAGTTGATTTTATTGGTTATATAAAGCAATATTCTCTTATTGATGACAATCCAAATGATGCCAAACCACGAACTAGTCGTCGACATTCCAATCCAAATATATTAACACCATCAGATGTTTACAATGCTATTGGAACTAATCCTGTATCATGTCTTATAACAATGGGACATGTACCAAAATATATTGAAGAAACAAGTCAAACTCATGAAACTATTCATACAATTGATCGAATATTTTCATGCAAATTAAATTCTGATGGACAATTTACTTATTTTGATAAAATGTAAGACGTCCTTGATTATGCTTTTTTCTAAAATAATTTCAGAGAGTAGTTAAGTAAAATTTTTCTTTTTCATGTTGCACAAGAAGAAGAAAAAATCGAGAAGAAATATGTAAACAAATAGTAACGACTGAAATGTGAATCAATAAGTTTTGAAGACTTATGAATAATTTCATATATATAATGAATTTCAATTCCAATTCAATGAATCAACTCACTTAATGTCAAGTGTATTGAAACCTTTTTGTCTGGAAATATGAAATGCATACATATTTTCTACAGATGGGTTTTTTGAAAAGCTATTCAATGTTATATATATATCCCATACGAAAAAAAAGTATCAGTTTGAAATTTGTTCTTATTGACAAACATTCGTGAGAGCTAAGAACATAAAAAATCAATTCGCTTAAATAGAAATGCCTGAATTTGTACCCGTTAGGAAAATGACGTTTTCTTTCAGTAGGGTGAAGGACATGCACTTTGATCACAAATACATAACATCGTACGAAGTTTCAATCGACGAATAAAAATATATAAACATATTTTTATTTTTCTTCCTTTTCTAAATGGGCGCCAGTCTTATATCCATACTCGTCACGGTTGAATTATGTCCTTATTGCTTTCGTATTAAGAAGAATATACTTTTTAGTTAATATTACATGAAAATAGTAGATTTTCTCAACTATCTTTTTATTGTGATGCACTGTAAGGTTTTATCAGTAGAGTTTCTACACTTAAATTTGATAGTATGTAAGCAAAAAGAACATTTTTTCTTCTTCTTATCATCGGTGAAGAATAGAAAAGAAGGCCGTTGCACTTAATATAACTCTATTGAATAAATTGACGCTATCAATCAAGTCTTTATGGGATTTAAACGAAGAGACAGCAGACGAAAAAGTGAAATTTATAAGATGGTCTTTTTTTTTATTTTCCTTGTGATTTGTTTATTTAGTAAATAAACAACAAGTGCAATTTGACATTTTTTTTTTATTAAAAATTCATCTAGCGAATAGCGCTTAATAGTAAAAATGCAAGTTGAAGGTATTGTACACCTTTTTTTCATACAAAATACCTTTATATTTTTGACATAATATTACTACTATGTAAATTTAATACATTCGATTAATCAGCAAAGTTTAATACAAAAAAGAATACATGTCATTATTTTTCTCTCTCTCTCGAAGGTTATTTTCCAATCTTTTCTTTGCTAATTTTCATGGTATATGATTCATCATAAATGAATGATTGTTAGTAGTAACAGTGATGAAATATTATCAGTCTGTATTTCGATAAGTTAATTGATGTTATTTTATTCTATTTAGATGTTATTCTCTATTGGGTTATACATCACAAGATCTTCTTGGTACAAATTTCATTGATTTCATACATGAAGATGATCGAAGTAAATTAAGTGAAATATGGAATCGAGGTAAAAGCAAACAAAACAAAGAATATTTCAATAAAATTCGTTTTGTTTCGTATATGTTAAGTTTGTCGTGATCGTCAAATAGCAACAAGTGGTTATTATCGTTTTCGTACAAGGAATAATATATATATTATTTTACAAACAGTATTTGAACCATTTATTAATCCATGGAATGATGAAGTTGAGATAGTCGTTGCAAGAAATAAACTTAAGTAATTCATCGATTTTCTTTTTTTAATCTATATATTGATTTATTATTAAATTGTTTTTAGAACTAAATCTACTCGGTCACATACATCTACGAGTTCTAGTAAGAAAATTTTGCTTTTAATGTAATATATTCTATGAATTATCATCTTAATTTTTCTAGAAAATGACAATCCAAAAAATTCTGATGTTAATTTACCATCTACATTAGTGCCAACAGAATTTCTACGTCAACTACTTCCATGAATAAAAAGAAAATGTCAACTTTTTAATTTCATGCAGGTTCACATTCACCCGTCCAATAATAGACTTTTAATTAAAGAAAAAAAAGAATATGACTGTCTTCTTCTTTAAATCTATGAGTAACATCATGTTGGTTTTTTTTCTCGGTGTAGGATTATCTTAAATCGGTGTTTGACATGGAAGATATTATTTTTTATTAAAACTTGTAAATATATATGAAAAATGTATATAATCATATGATGATGAAATATTTGTGTTTCGATTGTTAAAAGATATTTAATTATTATCAATGTTTTTTTGTTTCTATATAGACTAGAAAAACAAGGATAATAAGATAAAAAAAACAAAACATATATGATACATCTTTTTCTATTATTTAACTAATTTTGTTATTTTTTATCTTAAAAAAACAATAATATGATTTTTTTTTATTAATCTCTTCTAGAAACAATATGTCTAATTTATTATTATTATCATCATCGTCATCATCATCTATTATTTCTATCATCTATTTGTTGAATTTCTTTTTTGTTATTTAATGTATAATTATTATGTATATGAATTCTTGCTTTATTCTGATAAGTATTTAACATATTATTATTCTTTACTATCATTAAATTTTATTTGAAATCATTATTTTGATTTCGTGTCCAAATTTTGAACTCCTCTTATTTATATATTAATATCAAACTTTTTTTGTCTTTCGACCAAACTTCTTCTTTTTTTGGAGAAAAAAAAACATTTTTGTTTTTATTCTGATTTTGTCAATGACGAGTTTAAGTGAAAACAAGCAAGAGAATGAGGTTAACATTGAGTCAAAACAGTGTGTTATGGAAAATAAACAATCTCTATTACATACTGATGATGATTTAAAATCAATAAGAACAGTAGCAGAAGAGTAAGGATAATAATAATAATTGAATTCCGTTGATTAATTTTAAATTATTATTTATTATAGAACAACAGATGATCATCAAAAACAAGAAGAAATAGATAAAAACATGCAAAAGTAAGTTATACATTGGATATTTGAATGAAAAGAATTCATATTATTTTAAAACTGCTTCTTTTTTTTTAGTAATAATTCAACATCTGAAACAGAACAGAAAAATATAGTTAATGGAATTAACAATGATGATGCTTTAATGAATACTAGTCTACCAATAGTAACTTCTGATAAAGAACAACAAAAAGAGGCAACAGAACCAACAGTAAATAATGATGAAAATGAAACCCGTTCGAAAAAGTCATGGAATCCAAAGGTCAAATATTCACCGATGCCGTATCATCGATTTCCCTACTATACGAATGGTCATCCATATGGTGCGCCAGCACCCTACTATTATTATTCACTACCAACACTTGAAAAACCGACACCATTAATGTTTGTTTCAACACAACAACCATCATCATCATCTTCATCACCGACATCACGAGATACTCATACAAATAATTCAGTAGCAGTATCACCACAAAATCTACCACCACGTTTGAGGCAAACATCAACAACTGAAACTGAATCGACTTCACAAGTATCATCGACTACGCCACCAAATTCACAACCATCAACAACAACGACACCAGCAACAAATGGTCGTCGTCATCGTAGTATTTTACCACGTGGTCTTGGAAGTTATTATTCACATCCACCACCACCTTTAATGGCTACACCACCCGGTGTTCTTTATCCATATCCACCTGCCGTCCATCCACCAGGCCATATTGCATATAATATTCGACCACCAGATGAATTAGAATTCTATGCTTTTCAACAACAAATAATGAATTTACCACAAACATCAGTTATTTGGCCACCAACACATGCAGGATTACCACCACATGGTCATCCTCAATTTGCACCATATGCAATGAATGGATTACCACCTCCATACATGTTTAATAATTCGGTAATGACTCAACCAGCAAATTCATTTTTAAATCCCGACGCAGCTGAATGGGTCCCATCACATAATGATAATGATATACCATCATCGTCATCATCATCATCGGATAAGAATATTTTAATTGATGATGAAATTAATTTTCCACCATTAAATAGCACAACAAATAATACTCATATAATACCAACACCTATTAAAGATCATATAGAAGATAATTCTGAACACATAGAAACTACATCCGAAACTATTTCAACGAATGATAATACTACAAATGATAATACACCAATATTAACAGATAATACAAACATATCAACTCAATCTACTTCAAAAATCGAATCATCAAATATTTCGTCGTCTAGTCAAGATGATAATAATAAATCATCATCATCATCATCGTCTCCAGTTAAAATAGCACCAATATCATATTCAACAATCATTTCAAAAACATCTGAAAATAATAAAACAAAAAAAAATAATATTAATAATCAATCACAAGTTCGTCAGCAGCAACAACAGCAACAACCATTAACAAATCATACTCATAATCAATTACCACCAAGAGATCGAATCATAAAACAACAACAACAACAACGAATACCAACTAATTCATCATCTCCTTCAAATTTCAATTCTCGTCAACGTCAACCATTGAAAAATAATCGACCTATGACACGAAATCTTCTTCCAACTGAATCAATTTCTCTTTCAAAACAACAACAACAACCACAAACACCACCATCACCACCAATAGCTGATGATTGGATTGAAGTTAAATCTAAAAAAACAAAAAAATTCGATCGTAATTTCAATGATAATTCAACAGAAAAATTCATATTAGATGAACAAAAACATAAATCTGTCTCACCACCATTATCATTAACATCAACTGGTGATAATACAACAGCAACATTTACATCGGAAGATGATTATGATGATAAAGATAATCAAGATCTTGTTATTATTATGAATAATGATGTTTCAAATGACTATAATCAAATTATTATCGATGATATACATAATCGACTTGATAATAATGAACGATTACTAATAATTATGCGAGGATGTCCTGGTAAATACAAATTTTGAATAGAATTTATAAAACATAATACTTCTCAGCATTTTCTCAAACATAATTTATTTTTATTTTAACAAAAAACTTTGAAAATCTTTTCACTATTTACTAATATATTTCGATTTGATTTTATCATAGCAGAAAAAAGTCAATTATAATATTTTTCTTTTTTTAAATTTAGGTTCAGGAAAATCAACATTAGCTAAGTAAATATTCATTTTAAATATTAATAATTTTAAAGTAAAATATTTTATTTTCTATTCAAGATCGCTCAATCATGGTTATAATGGTGTAATACTTTCTACAGATGATTATTTTATAGATCGTAATTTAAATAGATATGTCTTCGATTTAAATAGACTTGATGATGCACATCGATATAATCATCGACGAGGTTTGATTGATATTTTTGAAAAAAATAAATCATTTCATTTTATTTCATTTAGCATCGGATGCATTTAAACGAAATATATCTCCGATTATTATTGATAATACAAATACACAAACATGGGAAATGAAACCATATGTTTCAATGGTAAATTATTTATTATTTAAAAATTTATTTATGTAAAATCAATATTTATTTTTAGGGTAAAGATGCTGGTTATGATATTCTTCTAATTGAACCTCAAACTCCATGGCGTTATAAAGCTCGAGAATTATTCAAGTAATTTCGTTTGTTTTTTTTTAATGTAATCAAATCTTATTTATTTATATAGACGAAATTGTCATAATTTACCAATGAAACGTATAAGAGATATGTTAAATCGTTTTGAATATAATATTACAGCTCAAAATATAATTGATCAACTTTCATCAACAGCAAAATCAAATAATAATATTCTTTCATCTGAACAGGAAAATGTGCCTGAAGATAATGAAATTACTGATCCATTGATGACATCAAAAAAATTCTACGATACTATTGATGATTCTCTTATACTTGATGATGTACGTCTTTGTATAAATGATATGATTTTATTTTTAACATCAAACTTTTATCAAACAACATTATTATCATCAGCATTAACATTACCAACAACAACGACAACAACAACATCAACATCACCGATATCAACACCATTATCTGTTTCATTTTATGATTTATCACTCATATCACCAACATCACCATCACTACCACCAACACCTTCAACACCACATTCACGTTTTCATCGTCCATTAGGACGTTTTCCTTCAACAATAAATCAAGATCATTCATTTAATTCTGAACATATTTTACGATTACCATCAACAGCATTTTCACGTTATAATGATACAACAAATTTAACACCACCTTTATCAACACAATCAAGTCTTATTGCAAAAAAACGACAAAAAAAGAAGAATAAACAAGAATCCAATGAACTTGTCTTAAATACGAATAATAATAACAATAATAATAATTATATCATTGATGAAGAAAATATTTTATTACAACAACAAACTTTTAATGTTTTTCTTCCTGAAGATTGTTCAGATTTTATCGTTATTGATGAACAAGATAATAATGATTGGATTGATAATGATAGTAGAAATTTTAATATACAAATGAATTCTCTCGGGTAAAGAACGTACTTAATATATTTGACGCTTAAACGAAGATGAATTTTAGTTCGTTTTTCCCCATTCTTTTCTTTTTTTTTCTTCTTTCCTTCGAAGACAACTTATTGCATATATTTATCTTCCAGTCCAATAGAGAAAGACGAAAAGTTATATATACATTTTGCCTTGTTTTTATTCATGATTTCTTTATCATTTTACGACTTCTTTTTCTAACTACTAAAAAAAAAGTCAATAATGGACAGTAGATTAAAGAAAATGTATAAAATAACAATGAGGTGAATATAAAAATATCTAATTCGAATTCGCATTTTTTACCCAATTTTCTATTGAGATTTGTAAATAATTATTTATTTATTTTTCCTATCAGGGATCATTCATCAACAAATCCTTATAAACAAAATCAATTAGTTAATTCAAAAACTAATGAATTATTAAATATTATTCATAAAGAATTAAATAAACCTTCTCATCATCCGTCCGTATCAACAAAACATATCGCTATACAATGTTCATCTGATGATTTTAATACAGATCCATCGGATTTGATTTTAATTGGTCATCATGTATCATCTCCGATAGAAACAATCATAACACCATCAATTCCACCACTTCCAGGTTATAATGAATGTGGTATTCAAGTTGATTTAAATGATAAAAATCTTGATTTATTATATGGGATCTATTCAAATCATTTATCAAATGAAATAATTGAACAATTTTATGAAATTTGTCATCAAGATATTGAATATACACGTACACAAATTGATGAATATCTTCAATTTAGTAATCAAAATAAAGTTCATATTCCAACATTACAACAATTAAGTTTACATACTTTAAATCAATGGAATGAACAAATTAAATCAATAAATCCATTATTTGATACAAAATCTATTAATGATTTACTTCAAGATATAAACGATGATGATGAAAGATTAGAAGATTTAACAATTAATAATACGAATAATGATACAAATATTGAATTTAATGATTTAAATCATATAAATATACCTTGGTCAATTTTAAATTCATTAGAAGAATTATATGGAGAAATACCTAATAGATCAATGATATTATCGAATAATAATAGTATTTCATTACCAGTTGATAATGAACTATCAATAAGTATTTATCAAGCATTACAAAGACATTTAATTAAATCAAATCAAATAATAGAACCGGTGATTGAAAATAAGAAAAAGATAGATAATACAAACAATCAAAAATGGATATTACCATCATCAAATAAGCAATTAAATTCAAATGTTAAGACTAATAATAATAATAATATTCCATCACTGAAACAAATTATGAAAGAAGAACAACAAGCAAATAAATGTCAAAAATCAAAACAGGTATTTAAATAAAATTTGATTTATTATTCTTATCAATGAGCTATAAATAAATCTTCAATAAATATCTACTAATCGATTAGAATATGATAACCCTAGTCGAACTTTTTTCTACATGCGCTTGACCTCAAGACGTGTCTGTTATCTATGGTAGATCGTGAGGAGTCATTAATATACATGCAGAAATTATCTTTTCTTTCAAAATACGTACCTTAGGCACTTCTATTTCGTCGCTACAAAACACTAGATTTTACAAAAAGATCCGAAGATGATTTCGTTTAATTTTTAGTGAATAATATTTATAATTTATCAAAATCTTTTTAGAAACATCAACTTGATTATGTTACTGAACATAAATTAAAAGAACTTCAACGTCATTTTCCATCATTTGATAGTGATCTTCTTCATGATATATTTCGTGAAAATGAATATAATTATGATATTACACTTGTATGTATATCTACAATGCTTGATGATAATGCAGATATAACGACTATGCATCAACCTCAATCAGTTTCATCTTCCCGTCCTATATCAACAATAAAACCAATTGTTGAACCTGTTCTTGAATCTTATGAGATTTTACGGCAAGATGCACTTCATCATGCACAACAACGTAAAGAATTATATGCAAAAGCTCATCAAGCAAATCGTTATGGAATGTGTGGTGTTGCATCATTTTATATTCATCGAGCTAGTGAAGAAAATCAATTAATGAAAGATGCTAATCGAGCTGCATGTGAACGTTTATCACAATGGAGACTTACGCAATTCTATCAAACACAACAGCTTGATCTTCATTGTTTACATTCCGATGAAGCATTGAATTTATTTAAACAAATAGAACAAGAATATAATGAAAAAAATCGTAAAACAACACCAAAATCTATTCATATTATAACAGGTTACGGAAAAAATTCTATTTATGGCGGTGGTCATGGAAAAATACGCTCAGTTATTCTTACTTATTTAAAACAACGAAATTATAAGTAGATTAAATATAAAATTTCTTGATATTTAAAAAATATAATTCAATTCATATTTCTATAGATACTCAGAACCAAATAAAGGTGTAATTCTATTGCAATTAACAAATGCAAAAAACTAACGAACATTAAATATATAGTTCTAAGCTATACATTGTTTTTGATTTTGTTTCTTTGTTTGTTTGTTTGTTTGTTTGTTTGTGTGTGTGTGCAATGTAGGTAGCGCGCGGTGATTTTCTCTTGTTTCACACTAGATAGAAATTTCTTTCGTTTTTTGTTTTCTTTTGCTTAGCGCGAGTCTTTCACTAGTTTTGTTTTTCTTTATTAAACTTATATACACGCACACTCAAGTTTGTAGTTTCATTCTTCTTTCGATGATGTATTTACTATAGCAATAAAAAAGATCAACAATGAATCTGGTTTTTTTTGTTGCCTTTTCTTTTCGTGTTTTTGATGATGTTAAATCTCATTTAGTCTATCTCTTCTTTCTTTCGTTCCTTTTTTTTGTTCACCGTGTGATGGTTTGTATTACACCAATCCGGTTGTTTTCTTTTCGTTTTTCTTCTAGCTTGCTCTATATTCGTATTTACAGCTCAGGATATTCAATGTTCGGTTGCCCTCAGGAAGAAGCACGTATTTATTATATTGACTCAAATTTTAGAATATTATACAATGCTGTAATACTTAGTTTGGTGCTAATCGGTGGACATTTATATCATAGTTGATGACTAAAACATAATTTAAAAACAAACGCTTCTTTTTCATTGAGCAAGTACCATTTTTTTTGTTTGTTCCTGCGTGTGTGTGTGTGTTTGTGTGATACTTAAGCACCCCGTCCGAGTTTAAAGTCATAATACATGTGTGTGTGTGTGTTTTCGGTTTTTAGAAGGAAATGAACAACAGTCGCTTGCGTCTATGCAGCAGTATTTGAACCCTGTTCATTATATTATACTATAACATTACATATGTGGTTTTGTTTTGTTGAGTTATTTTTTTAGCGAAGAAAAAAAAAATAGAATCCTCGTTCTTTTTTGTGCACGTTATTGCAACGTTGTTTTTTTCTTTTTTTTTTTGTTCTGTATGTTTGATTGTATACGTGTGTGTTCAGTTCTTTTTTTTGTGTGTAGAAAAAGAGAAACAAAACCAAAAATCTTAATAAAGAAAGTCTTAGGCAACTAAAAATTTTTGAATTACATGTTTCATGGCAACCATAGATAAAAAAAAGTTTTTATTTTTCTTCTTTATTATTTCTATTGACAAAAAAAATGATAGTCAACATTTTGCAGATATATATTATTTCATAATTTGATAATAAAAACAATACAAACAATCATGAATATTGCAATGAATCGAATTATGAAAGAATTCAAAGAAATCGTAGCAAATGAATCTGTAAGAATATTTAATTAATTATATTTCTTTTTTATTTTTATTTTCTTTAGGGTGGAATTGATTTAAAAATGCCAGAAGGTGAATTAACAAGAAGTGCACCCAATGCAGGATCACAATCAAATAAAAAAGACATTTTTTTAACTGGATCAATTGAAGGACCACCAGATACAGCCTATGCTGGTGCTCGATTTCATGTTGATATTATTGTTGTTGGTAAATGAATATATATACAAGAATAAATAGAATATTTATTAGAATATTTATTTGTAGATACGTATCCATTTAATCCACCTAAAGTTCGATTTACAACAAAAATTTGGCATCCAAATGTTAGTTCAGTTACTGGTGCTATTTGCCTTGATATTCTTAAAGATCAATGGTAAGACTAAAAAACGATTCTATTGTGTATTTTCTAGTTAACGTTAGACACAGTTTAAACAGTTTTTTTTTCTATTAAAAAAAAGGGCAGCTGCAATGACAATTCGAACAGTATTGCTTAGTTTACAAGCATTACTTGCTACACCAGAACCTGATGATCCACAAGATGCTGGTAATAATAATATTCTAAAAAATTATTTTGTAGTATAGTTTGTTATTATTATTACAGTTGTTGCTAATCAATATAAAAAAGATCGGAAATTATTTGAGAAGACAGCTCGACATTGGTCAAATGTATATGCAAATGGTAAATAGACATGTTCATTCAATAATATAAAAATATATCTTGTAATATCTTCTAGGACCAAATGCTGAACCAGAATGCGATGCAGCAGTGAAAAGTCTTGTTGAAATGGGTTTTCCTGAAGTAAATTTTTCGTCTTATAATAATATATTAATTAATATTCATTCTTTTTCTTTTCTTTTTATTAAGGAAAAAGCTCGTTCAACATTATCAACAATGCATTGGAATACAAGTGATGCTCTGGAGAGTTTGTGCAAGGGTTAAATAACTATTAGTCATACTATAATCATTTGCTTCCTCTATTGTTATATCTTGTCTGTATGTCTATGTGTTCTTTTCTTTTCTTTTCGTTTTTTTTTCGTTTTATTTTATTTTCCTATATTGACAGTCGAAATATTTCTGTTTGACATGTGTAAATGTAGAAAAACTATGTTCTTGTGATCATCAAAAAGATTTTTATTGCGATTTTTGAAAAAACAAACAAATATTTGACTGTCTTTATCGTATTTTTCTTTTTCTTTATGTTTATGGTACATTAGAACTAAGTCGATAGATGTTTAAAAAAGAAAAGAAAACTCAATAAAGAAAATTTTGTTTCTTACTTTGCTTCGTATTTATTTAATAGCTAAATGAATATATGTATCTTTTAATAAAAAACAAAACCTCATAACTAAACATGTTTAATTACAAATTATCGATTGATTTAATATTTTGTCCATTGAAAGAATCCTCAAAATAGTAATAGTTAATCAGATGACTAAAGTTTTGTCTTTTAAGTGTAGATTTATAAAAGATACTCCTTTATAGTAAGATTAATAGATTATTCAAATTTTACATATTTCATAGCTTGATAAGAAAACATTCCTTTGAGCTAAATTTTTCAAATACTATCATAACTTCTAGATCAAATTAAACAAAAAAAAAATTTCAGATCGATAATCTATATAAGATTTTTAAGTAGTTCCATTATCTCCTATTAATAGACAAAATATTAAGTCAATCGATTAGTTTGAGTAAAATAAATTTTATTATTATTACTCAAGCATACATCTTAATTTCTATTATTTATTTTAGAAGAATGGATCGAGTCTGTACGACTCCTTTCTGGGTGTGTATTCAAATATATTATTCATCTTTTTTTTTTTTAAACCAATTTACTATTTATGTAGATTAAAAATGTGACACATTCGCCATATCCTTATTTAACAGAATGTTTTCGTGATACGGCTTTACAATGGTTTCCATTGGCAGTGTTTTGGTTAGTTTTACCGTTATGGATTTGGATGTTACATAAAAGAAAAATTCATCCACAACCATTGCCTGTTTCGGCTTTGTTAATTGCTAAAGTGGTAAACATTTATGTGTATTGAGATTGTATATATAATCTATATATTTTGTCATAGGTTAACAAAAGATTTTTCAGTATAATTTTCATTCTTATTAGTTATCGTATTGCACATAGGAAAGAATGAATCTTTGAATTGTTCGGGATGAGAAAATCATTATGATTTCAAGATATCTTACGCATGCATTTAGATCTCCTTTAAATCGATCTATTTGTTATACCTTTTGTCAAATATGAAAGACATGAGCTGAATTTGAAAAGAAAACATACTAAATTCCTTAATGTATATCATAGGTTACTGCTTTTTTATTTCTTCTGGTCCAAGTTTATCGCATTGTTATTTATGCATTATCAACAGATGAAAGAAGAAGTTTAGCAAATTTAATAAGTCCAATGTTATTTATAATAACATTATTTACAATTCTCTGGTTAATGAATTATGATCGTTGTAAAGGTATGTTTTCTTCGGGAATAATTTTTGGCTTTTGGTTATGTGTATGTTTGGCTATAATACCTGATGTAATTGATTATTCGATTGAATATAAACCAGGAGTAAACTATTTTCATATATGATAAAGTTTGTTTTATTAATTCAATAAATTTTATAGGATGAATCAAGTCGTATGTTACAAGAACTTATTCGTGTTTGGCTTCATTTTGCTTTTGCATTAATTTCATTTATCATGAATTGCTTAGCAGAAAGATATGAATTTCCTAAATTATCAGCTAATGAACGAGTATAGTATTTTTGTATATCTAGTAAATAAATTATTTTCAATTGATTTTTCTTTTTCTCAGCCCATTGTATCTGAACTATATCAAAGCTTTCCGTCTCGTGTATATTATTCATGGGTAACACCACTTATTATTCGAGGTTATAAAAAACCATTAACAGAAGAAGATTGTTGGCAATTACAAATTCCAGAACGAGCTGTTAATGTTGTTCATCGAGTACAAGCTTGTTTAAACGGGTTAATATTAAAAAAAAATCTTTTTTTTTCTCGTTTTTTTAACTATAATCAATTATTATAGAACAATTAGTCAAGCAAAATCAATTGCATACGATAAGAGTAGACCTTTTAATAAAAATTATGTTCCAAAAAAGCATATTGGAGATGAAAATCAAGATTTAGTAAGTTAATATATTCGAACAATATTTTCTTTTTCTATAATTTTGTTCTTATCTATTTAGTTAAATAAATTAGTAAGTATAAATTTCGATTCAATTCTTTTTCTTTATTAATATTTTTAAAAAAGCCATCAGTTGAAATTAAAACAACAGCAACAAAACAAAGAAAATTAATTATATTTTGGCGTGCTCTTTTCCATGCATATAAAGGCAAAATAATTGCAGGTGGTTTAATGAAAGTTGTTCATGATATATTACAATTCAGTGGACCAATGATACTCAAGTATAATATCTAATGGACTTTCTTTTTAAATCAAATTTTTCTTATTACATCTAGACAAATTCTTACTTTTCTATCTGATTCAACAGCTCCATTGTGGTTAGGCATATTTTTTGCTGTTCTACTTGGTGCATGTACATTTTGTCAAACATTATTTTTACAATCTTATTTTCATCGACAATTTACTGTCGGTCTTCGATTTCGTTCAGCTATAACTGGACTTGTATATCGAAAAGTAAATTTCTAATTTCGTTCTTCTTATAATTTCTATTGGTTTTATTTCATTAATCAGAGTTTAAAATTATCAAATTCAGCTAAACAAGCTACAACAACTGGAGAAATTGTTAATATAGTAAATCATTTTGTTTTTTGTATAAATAATAAAATCAGAATAATTATCTTAATTATAATATATAGATGTCAATTGATGCATCACGTTTTGGTGACATTACATCTTATATTCATGTCCTATGGTCTGGTATGTAGAAAACTATACATAATTATTAATATTTAAGTTTAATTATATTATAATAGGACCTTTTCAAATTTGTCTTGCACTTGGATTACTTTATCGACAAATGCAATTAGCAATCATTCCTGGTGTTATTATATTGCTTCTTATGATACCAGTCAATATAGTTGTACAAAGAATTCAAAAACAACTTACAGTATGTGAATAATAGTATTTAATGTCTCTCTCTAGAGTTAGTCTAAAAAAGTGATTATAGTGAGAATCATTTATCATAGATGTGGCTAAAGAAAAATCATGATTTATATTTTTGAATTCCATTTAGACACAACAAATGAAATTAAAAGATCAACGAATAAAAATGACGAATGAAGTTCTTAATGGAATAAAAGTATTGAAATTATATGCTTGGGAAGAAGCTTTTATTCGTCGATTAAATGATATACGAGATCAAGAACTAAAGTGTATACGTAGAAAAGCTATTATAAGTTCTTTTTCAAGTGCTATATGGACATTTGCACCAATTCTAGTAAAATATTTTTTACTTCATTTAAAATAAAAATTAAATAATATTTTATTTTTATTAAAGGTATGCATTGTAACATTTGCTACATATGTTTTATCATCAGATGAAAATATCTTAACAGCTCAAAAAGCTTTTGTTTCATTGGCATTATTTAATTTACTTCGATTTCCACTTGTTGTATTTCCAAGTATTATTACTAGTATAATTGATGTAAATATGATGAAATTTCTAAAGGGAATATATTTTTAATTATGAAAGTTTATTTTTATTTTTGTTCTTAGGCTAATGTATCAAACAAACGAATACAGAAATTTTTAAATAGTGATGAAATTGATGAAGATGCTGTAAATAAAACAAAATTGGATTCCGAAGGAAATATAATTAAAGTTGAAGATGGTTCATTTTCATGGTCAAATTCATCGGAAGATCCATTAATATTAAAAAAGTTTTTAAAATATAGCTCAATATTTAGTAGACAATAATTTCATTGTTTTTGTTTTGTTTTGTAGTATTAATTTTAAAATTCCAGAGGGTTCACTTGTTGCTCTTGTTGGACCAGTTGGTTCAGGTAAAACTAGTATATTAGCAGCTTTACTTGGTGAAATGAATAAAATTGATGGACAAGTTAATGTAAGTGGAACTATTGCTTACGTTGCTCAAACAGCTTGGATTTTAAATGCAACACTTAAAGAAAATATTTTATTTGGAAGAGAATTTAATGAAGAATTGTATGAAAAAGTTATTGAAGCATGTGCATTAAAACCTGATTTTGGTATGAATAATTTACTTTATTTTCATATAATAATGTTTATTCTTAGATATTTTACCACAAGGAGATGCAACGGAAATTGGAGAAAAGGTAAATAGACTGTTTTGGGTTTTTTTATTTTGAATAATGAATTAATTTCAATAGGGTATTAATCTATCTGGTGGACAAAGACAACGAGTTTCTCTAGCTCGAGCTTTATATAGTGAAGCAGATATTTATTTATTTGATGATCCATTGTCGGCAGTTGATGCACACGTTGGTGCTCATATATTTAGACATGCTATTGGACCGAAAAGTTTAATCAAAGACAAAGTAAGATAATTTGATTTATTTATGAAAAAATTGTATTTTCTTTCGTTTGATTCAGACTCGTCTTTTAGTTACACATGGTGTATCACATTTACATAAATGTAGTGAAATAATTGTTGTTGCACGTGGTGAAATTGTTGATTATGGATCGTATAATGATTTAATGACTACAAGTAAAATTTTACGTGAACTAGTTTACTCAATTACTACACAAGAAACGGAACGAAAATCAAGTGATCCAGGTATATAAAATATTAACAATTTTATTTTAGGCTTATGAAAGATACAGAGAAAGAGTTTAAAAAGTCTGCTTTCTTTTTTTGGTAATATTTTTAAAATCATTCGGATTGTAAGAATAAGAAGCATAGATATTTTTGCAAACGTAAAAGAAAGTGCTCTTAGTTAGATTCGAAAATGTGACATTGGTAGAATGTTTCCTGATGTATATGTAATTTCACCATATCAATCGATATCATTTCATATAGAATTAATCTATACGAAAAGATGGATCCGATTGTTGTCGTAGTTAGACCGATATCGGATCGATTGATGGGAACCGCCAGATTACTGGCGTGATCCCGATGTGATTATTCAGTCGATTTAAAATGGCCCTTTGTGTTAATCAGGATTAGTACGATTATTCATGGCTTGATCAAACCTCTGAGGCTTAAACAAATCGGACTTGGGATTACATAGACTAATTGGTAGTCATATTCATTTTTTTTTCTATTTTAGAACCGAGAAGTCCAGACACACCTCTAGTAGATGTTAGTCTTGCAGATGTTTTAAAAGTAGCTGAAGATGATATTCAACATGAAACAACGAAACCAGCAACAACAGAAATAACTCCAAGTGAATTAAAAGAAAAGAAAGATAAACTTATTCAAAAAGAAGCAGTTGAAACTGGTTCTGTAAGTTGAATTTTATTTTTTATATATTATTTATTAAAAATATGAAATTTTAGGTTAAATTAAATGTATTTCTTATTTATATACGTGCATGTACAATATCAATGATTATAATCGTATGTGTTTTATTTTCTTTAACAACACTCGCATCATTAAGTACAAATATATGGTTATCAAGATGGACAGATCAATCTAAAAAAGAAGCTAATCATACATCACCATCCATGAGTAAAATTCATGGCATAACTATATATTCATTATTAGGTCTTAGTCAAGGTAAACTATTAAATTTTTTTTTTTTAATTAGAAAAAAAAAGAAAGAAAAGTTTTCTTTTAATCTTATTAATACAAAAAAAAATAATAATCAAATTTTATAGTTCTAATAGAGTTCATAGGCACATACTTTATGTTTAAAACAAGTATAAATGCCTCACGTACATTATTTAATAAATTTCTGTTGAAATTATTTCATTTACCTTTATCCTTCTTTGAACAAACACCAATTGGTCGAATTATAAATCGTTGTTCATTTGATTTTGATATGATTGATAATGATATGATGTTTACATTACGTTCAACATTCAATGCTATATTTGCAGCTATTATCTGTTTTCTTCTAATTTCGTATTATCTACCTGAACTGATAATATTTATGATTATTATATTTCTTCCATTTATTTTTCTTGAGGTTAACAAAAAGAAAAAACAGATATATATATATACACATGTGATTTATCTCTTGATTGCTATAAACTATGCTTAATGATATAAATAATTTGATTTCTATTGTTATGCTTATCTTTCATAGGATTCATCGCATTCTTTATGCAATTGTTCATCTTTTTTGCTGCTTATGCTGCTAGTAAAACATTACATTCATCTATATTACTCGGTGTATTACGCGCACCTATGGCGTTTTTTGATACAACACCTATAGGACGAATCATAAATCGCTTTGCTAAAGATGTTGATTCTGTTGATTCAGCACTACCATCTTCATTCTCATCATCATTTGGAACATTAACAAGTGTATTAATCACGATAATTATACTTATATACGGCTCATGGTTTGCAATATTTGCCTTAATACCGCTTGCTATTGTTTTTGCTTTTATTCAGGTATTTCCGAGAAGATATTTTTATAATAACTACTAAGTTTATATATTTTATCTAGCGTGTTTATGTGGCATCTTCACGACAACTACGACGTCTTGATTCAACAACACGTAGTCCTGTATATTCAAATTTTGGTGAAACAGTTCAAGGACTTACTTCAATCCGAGCTTATAATGCTCAACAACGTTTTATTGATTTATCAGATGGATTATTGGATAGAAATCAAGCATGTTATTTTGCTAGTTGTGTTTCTAATAGGTTAGTTATAGACTATAAGAACTATAAAAACATCTACTTTTCTTTTTATTAATAGATGGCTTGCTGTACGTCTTGAAACTATTGCAAATCTATTAACATTAGTTACATCTCTATTTGCTGTTCTTATGCGTGATCGTCTTACAGCAGGTATTGCTGGTTTAACAATAACTTATGCCATGCAAATAACTCAATCACTTAATTGGCTTGTTCGCATGACAAGTGATATTGAAACAAATATTGTTAGTGTTGAACGTATTGATGAATATGCTAAATTACAATCAGAAGCTCCATGGGAAATACCTGAAAAAAAACCACCAACAGGTTGGCCGACAACTGGAGAAATTCAGTATGTGATTCATTATATTTTTATTAGGATAATAAAAATTGATTTGATTTTTAGACTTAAGAATTTATCTACACGATATCGAGAAAATTTAGAATTAGTACTTAAAGATCTTACAGTTAATATTCAACCAGGAGAAAAAGTAAAAAAAAACCATAGAGATTGTGAATGACATAATAATAATATGAATTATGTTTAGATTGGTATTATTGGTCGTACTGGTAGTGGAAAAAGTAGTTTATGTATTGCATTATTTCGTATTATTGAACCAGCTAATGGTGAAATCATTATCGATAATATTGATATTCGTCAACTTGGTTTACATGATGTTCGATCAAAAATTACCATCATTCCACAAGTAAATTTATTATGAATTACAATAAAAAGTATATTTTTTATTTTTGTTTTTTTCTTAAGGATGCAGTTATTTTTGCTGGAACAGTCAGATTCAATGTTGATCCATTTGGTCATTATAGTGATATTGAAATTTGGTCAGCATTAGAATTAGTACATATGAAAGAACGTATTACTGCTATGGCAGGTGGTCTCTCAGATTTATTAACTGAGGGTGGAGAAAATTTAAGGTAATTTCTCATTCTCAGTTATATATATATAAGGAAGAAGAAATATTTTTCTAATTGTTTAGTGCTGGTGAAAGACAATTATTATGTATGGCACGAGCTATATTAAGAAAGAGTAAAATTTTTGTACTTGATGAAGCTACAGCTGGTAAATAAAAATTTACCTATTGTCAAAATAGTATTCTCATATTGTGATTATTTTATAGCTATTGATATGGAAACAGATCGATTAATTCAAATGACAATTCGATCAGCATTCAAAGATGCAACTGTTTTAACAATTGCACATCGTCTTCATACAATTTTAGATAGTACAAGGTATGTTTCAAAATTGAATTACAAGACATATAAAAAATTGATGACATTTTTCTCTAGAATACTTGTTTTATCCAATGGTCGTTTACAAGAATTTGATGAACCACAACGTTTAGCATCTAATCCAAAATCTGCATTTGCTAAATTGTTACGTGATGCGAATATTCAATTACCTACAACGACAACGACAACTGCAAGCTCAAGCTAATCTGAAAAAGTAGTTATGAATGAAATTTTTCACTATTAACCCTCACCGTTAGATTAATTTTTTAATGTTGTATCCCGTTTTATAAGGTTCTTTTTGTTTTTTTGTCCAATAACTTTTGTGTGATATTGTGCACGGTTCAGTATTTGCTTTTTATGCCAAAAATCTTTTATTATTTTAAATGGAATACTTTCTCTTTTGTTTTATCTACTAATAAATGTCACGCTTTAATGCTTAATCTATATTTTAAAAAAACAATTCCACAAGTTCTGTAATGAATTCAGATCTTTGATCAATATCACCCGTTTTTTTACTATATTAAACATATAACACAGATAAAAACCGGATAATAATAAATTATATATTAATGAAATAGCGTCATCGATATAGGAGAGACTAGAAAAAATAATCCTAGCTTGATGAAAATCTATAGATTTATATCTCATGAATATTCATATTTATTTTAACAGTTTATTATATACATAGTACCGGAAAGAAAAGTTAGATTTCTTATTGAATATATCAAGCGCAAAAGTAAAAAGAACATTAAGATATAGTTTATAATAATACATCGACGATCTTGATCTACGAGAAATGACTATTCAATTTAATTATCACTGTCATGATAGTAAACAATTTTTATATATAACTATTAATCATATTCAATAAACATGAATGACACAGAAAATATTGACATAATTTAGCTCTTAAATATGTTTATCTTTTTCGAAGAATGTTAAATTAAAATTCTCTTTTCTTTTGAAAGAAGATAACATTTTGTTATTTTTCTTCCAAATGACATCATATCCTTTTCAAACAATAACATGAAAGAAAAGAAATAAAATGTATATACCTATATTTTCTTATCTAAACGAACGTTTATCATCAACATCATCATACACAATAGAAATTCATATAATCATTCAAAGAAAATGTTGCGTCTCGATGTGGATGTTTCATCAAAATATGCAAATCGATCCTATCGTCGTTTGAAATATATAATTAGTATTCTTTCAATTTTAGTAGGCTTATTATGTCTTACTGGTTTTATATGGACATCAATTGACGGTAATATTAATTCGAAATTAATAGATGAATGTAAAAATGATACACAAACAACAATACTTTGTTTTATACGTTTGATTACTACGAATGCTCTTCGAACAGAATGGGATAAATATATAATGGTAACACTTCTATTTACTTATGCAAGTGTTTTTTTACATATTATTGTTGAATCAACTCGAACAAATGTTTCTGGTCTTCTTGGACAAATGATAATTCAAACAATATTTATTATCGTTGGTATTGGAGTTTGTTTTCCAATATTATTTATTCCATCATTTCTTCATTTTTATAAATCAAAAAATAATTTAAATAAATCACCTGTACCAATTGATATCGTATGTATTGGAATTATTTATATTATTTGTGTTATTATAGTTCCAACATATTTACTATATTTTTTTTCATCACATGAATTAATTGCTTCGATTATGTCAATTATACTTCTTATATCTCCGTTGGGTTTTGCTCTTATTTCACTACCATTTCGATTATTATCAGGAGTTACTCAACGTTGTTGGGTTATTAATAGTCATCGATTAATTGTTCATTGTCAAATAACTCTATTTATATTATCAGCTCCACTTTTTTTCATCACACTTGTCTCTCTTATCATGCATGGATCATTTGATTCAATTAAACAAAGTTATGTGACAGAAAATACTAATGAGATTAATCCCATTACATTTATATGGTCTATTGATTATATATCATTATTTATTAGTCTTATTTTATTTATTATTTCAAATGAATATTTATTTCATGATAATATTAATCGTAATCGATCATCAAAAATCAAACAAATTATTGGTTATATTAGTTTTTCTATTATCTTTATTATAACACCATGTTTAGCATTTCCATTATATATTGCTTGGCAAGAATATCATTATCTTATACCAACATAATTTAATAATATGACTTCTTTTTTTTTTTCATTATAAAAAAGAAAAAACTATTAAAGATAATCTTCATTAACTAATGATATTTAAGGTTGATTAATTATTGTTAATATCTTCTGGAAAATAAATTTGAGATAGAGAAAAAAAAAGACGATAATGTATATCATGAAATAGTCGGATGAAAAAGAATTATATTCTATTTGAAAGAAAGAAAAGAAAATGAAGGGAAAGGTGGATGTTATTATTTATAATACTATTGCTAAATCTCTTTTCACACCCACATTTTTACTCTCTGTATTCGATTGCACCTCGTTCTTACTGTCACTACATACTCTTCTTATTCTTTTATATCTTTTTTTTGTGCTACGAAAAAATAAATGAGATAGATCAGTGAATGATTCTTTGAGAATTGCCGCCGTCATCATTCGTACATCGTATTTATCATTCTCGGCGTGTATAACTCTCTTATGCTCGATTGAGATTAAACTAACAAATATCTGAGTTATTCCTAAGATTCACGAAAAGCAAATGTATTTAATAGAAGAAGAAGAAGAAGGAGAAGAAAAATATAATAAGAAGAAGGCTATGATATGAAAGAGAGAATATGAGTGTTTATGTTGTGCTATTACTCATATGAAATTGTCTCATGACGGACACAATTGTAGTGAAAGAGCAATGAGAAAGAAATAGGGAACACACACGCAAACATACATTGATTTAATGAAAAAAAAAGACGACGTCGTCGACAACAACAACACCATCATCATCATCGTAGTAGCTATACATTGAAATGAAATGAAGAAGAATCATTATTCAATATATGATCTCTTTATAATGAATGCATACAAAATATACAACTTGTTGTCCATGATTTGATATGATTATTCTTTCATTTTTATCATTAAACTAAAAAAGAAAGTAATTCTTCTTTTTTTTATACTTCATTCATTGGGAATAAAATTGATGGTGACAAGTATAATTGTTTCTTGGGTAATTCAATAAATCTAATAATTATAGATGTAAGTATATGAAAGAAAAAGTGATTCAATTCTCAATTTACTCATTTTTATGTATGTATATATATATATATATATATGTTTATTTCTAGTGACAACTTCTTCTTAATATTTTCTATTTTAATCAATGGCTGGTGCTTGTGGACGTTCGAATCGTAGTCAATCAAAAGCAATGATATTTGCACCTGGAGTAAGTTTTAGCAAAAAAAAACGTTTTAGTTTTTGATCATTATTATCTCGTTTATGATATTTAACTCAGTTGATTTTATTTGAATATTAGCTGTATATCATTCCAGTCGAATAAGTAAAATCAAGATAGTATATTCGCTTGAATAAATCTTTTTTTTATTATATTTTGCATGTTAGTGTATTCTTGAGAAGAAGAAAAAAAATTGAGGAGGATTATTAACTAAGAACGGATGGAAAGAAAATAAAGTAGTACTTTACACACGATATGTGTGCGTATCTATGTTGGCTGATGTTGAAAAAGAATAAGTGTGAAATAATGAAATATTAAAAAAAAACAATTATATAACCATATTTTGAATAGTACTTTATATATATCACTCAATGTTTGTAGTAAAAGTAGAATAATTTCGTGAAATACAACAGGTGGTTAGAAGATACAATTGATTTTAGCCCATTATTACTAGAAAGTATCCTATAAATTTATTTAAAAGAGCAAGAGATAGACAGCAGAATATTTTAGTAGGTATTTAAGTCTGAAAGCTATATTTATAGTAAATACTTGAGCCAGAATGCATGACTTGTTCAAAAGGTTCTTTTGTAAAGTGTGTAAAAACTTAAATTTCCAGGATAAAATCGTTTTTTTGTAAAAGAAATGGTGATTCGCTTAGAGGAAGCTCTTTTCATTAAGTTGTTTTCCGCTTGATGAGGGTGTTTTCGAGTACTTTTTTTCATTTTTTAAAACTATATGGAGAGAAAAACTTTAAAAAAAAAGTTTTCTCTATACTAAAGTAAGGTCATGTTTGTCGCACAATATTTCAGTCGAAAGAGCTCGGAAAGAAAGAGTGACAGAGACAAAAGATATATATTATTCGATAGATACTTTAGGCTCTATAAAATAAACCATTCGTTATCTAATTTTTTTCTTCTTCTCTATTCAATACCTCGAAATATTTGTTTTCCAGGTATATTTACCTAAAAAAATATGAACTTTGTCTTATTTTTTTACTTGATAAAATACTAACTGCATCAACTAGATTATTGAGAGTTTATGTCAATATGAACTTCTCAGAAAATTATGAATATAGTAAATGTTTACTATTAAGATTAAATTTAAAGTAAATTGAATGAGGTAATTATTTCATAAGATTGTTAAATACCATCTGATATTATAATTTAATTGTGAATGAAACTCGACGAGAATTAACAAATTCTAAAAGACTGGTGATTTCTTGTACTGATACAATAAATATGATTTATCATATTTTCATTTCGAAGAATAAAAACAAATAAAATTTGAATTATTCTCGAGATCAATTGGACAATATTACAGAAATTCTTTACTTCATCGAAAGTAAATAAGTAAAGATTTACTTTGTTAATTAAACAATGAATTTTTCTATGAGACAATTATTACGATCTTTTAATTGACAATAGTATATATATAGTGGAATCTTTCTTTTGGCATGTTGTAGTAGCATTATTCTACTTTACCTTTTTCTTACTGGCAGAATGGATTGTATCGCGTGACTCAATGGATAAGCACACTTTTCTTCATTCATGAAAAATTGACTTAAATAGTTGGAAATGTGTGACGTCTCCAAATAGAGTATTCAACCATATCTATCGGTTAAAAAATAATCTTTCATGAAATTTTAATCCTGATTTCATATAAGACTCTGAAAGTATATTAGCATACAGTTAATATCCAATTAATTACTTTTTTAGAAATAATAAATTGTCAAATAGATATTTAGAACATAATGTATGTGAAATTAAATAAAAGACAAATTTAAATATTACAATTTGACAGTCTTTTATCTGATGACTTAAAGAGTCAGTCATATAAGAATCTATTATGTTTGAAAAAATAATTAGTTATATTCCGTGTTATATTTGTTGAGTCTATATTAATTATATATAGTTTTCTTGCACGCTACAATGAAAACATAATATATAGACATTGTTTTTTCTTTTAACATATTTGTGCATGATAAACAGATGAGCGAATATATATTTTTGAATGTTTTACAAAATAACGTCAGACATAGTTTTTGTTTATCTCATCTATAGACAATTGAATATAATAGATTTAGGAAGAAAATATTAAACTTTTTCCTCTCTTCAAATAACGGCTGATGGTTTTTTTAACCTCTCTGCACGTTATTACTTATTGTTTAGTATTTGATTAAGTACAATTTGTCAACAGATTTCTAATTAATTAATCATGTCTAAATGTCTTTCATAAAAAAAACTGACATTTGTACTAAAAAATGTCAACAATGATAGAATATGAAGTGCTTTCTCAGACAAAAAAGACACTAGTATGGGATTAATTCTTATTTTTATAATTAATGAGTGAATAGCCATGTATTCTCATATTATTTTTGAATTCAGACGATTTTTTATTCGATGGAGATATAAACAGTTTTTTTTTGCAAGACTTTAATTTTTAGATTAACAAAAACTGCTACTTGAATATTCTCAGTTAACAACACTATTAATCAGTTAAATAAGATAATAAGTTACTTTACTAATGTCTATAATTAATTTTTTTTAAAAAGAATTGTTTCAACCGCAACAGATGAGAAGACAGAAGAATAGTATACACAACTTTAACTAATAAAAGAATCTAACAAAATGAAGCCATCCAGGTCATGATATATTTTTAGCACTATCCCTGGATCATTCCGTTTTATCTACAATATAAACTTACTATAAAAACGGAAATAATCAAAATTTCTTAACATTAGAAAAAAAAAAGAATACTTCGACCTACGAATGAATCACGGTCAAAAATCTGTTGAGACTTCTAAATATACAGGGTGTCACAAAAATAATTACTTGAAAGTAAATTGGTCTAGCTTTACTATTTCATTTCACTGTACGACCTATCTTATTTTTCACAGTTGTTACCTTTAATATATCTATCATTTAAAAACAAAATAGTTCATAAAGTCAAATTGAATAATAAAGCTATATTTTAAAAAAAATTCGACATATTTATGTCATGGTATACTACTAGACAAACATGAAAACTACATAAAATATTGATAAATAATCTAATAAAATCTTTCTTTAGAGAATCATTTATTATTGATTCTATTTGAAAATAATACATCAAAGTCTTGTTGATCTTATTTTGATATTAAATAAAATATTTCATATGCTTGATAAAACATAAGCTTTCTCTCGTCGTGTTAGAATCTTGTTTTTTTAAGTTGATAAAAACAAAAATATGCAGTCAACTATAAAATCCGTTCGTTGTTATTTTTTTAAACTAATTCTATTGTCATAATCGTTCTAAATAACATCAAACAATTCATTATTCAGATCTGTTGCATATTAATGTGTTAAATTCTCCAGAGAATTTTTTTGTCATAATATTGATTGTACTGAAGTGGGAATAGAAAAACATATGTCAGTAAAAACTCTTCAAAATCAGACAGAACTGACGCAAGAACAAAAAAAAACAATTATACTAATGAACAGAATGTTGATAGACTAGGTTTTTTTTTTTTTTATTTCACAATACTTCACAAACGGAAATGATAGTCATTACAATACATGTATTTCCTTGTGATCAGATCAAAAGGATAGAGAAAATTTTCATCAACGGTGAATATATATATATAAATGTTTACAAAATAAAATATTCGTATTACACTCTTTTTTTCTAATTAGTTAATGACAAAAATTAATCTAGGTAAATAAAACTTTCTTGATATTTTTTTTTCTCTTTCCATGGAATATATATATATGTCTGATGAATCAGATACGTAACTTGTTATTTTTCACTTTATAAAAAAATATTAAAGTTCTACAGATCTAGTTTTTTTTCAAATGCAGGTAAAACTAAAAGCTTTTTTTAATAACATTTGCTATGCTTTATCAATTTAATATTGGATAATATGATTTAACATGAATAGAAAAGAAAATGTTTTCCAACCATAAACTAACATATCTCTTCTTTTTTTTTAGTTTATTTAGTAGTTTAATGTAAGAGATTTCTTTTGAACAAAAGTATATATCAGTGAAGTATATAACAGAGCTCGACATGTTGCGTGCGTCACAACGTATTTTTAAATTTAATGAATAAAGAACTTGTTCAAAAAAGCAAGTAAAAAGTTTGTTTTTTTAATAGAAGATTTCTGTTCATTATAAGAAAATTTAAATCGATAATAGTATAGAGCCTAAAGAAATCTAAGGTACATTCACTTAGAATTAAATTGTGGCCTTCTTTTTTTTTTTTGTTTTCATCTTATACATCATCTCATTGTCGTCATCGGTTTCTTTCGAAGTTTCTTCTTTTATTCTCATTTTGTTTTTGATCATAAGCGAACAAACCCGATTACTCTTGTGAGAGTATCTAAGGGTGAATTCAATCGCGAATAGTGACTAAAGAAATGAAACAAAAAAAAAAAAAAGAAGAAAAAGATAGACAGAAAAAGGGAAAACTATGTCATTATTAATTCCACGAATGACTTCTTGAGATGTCAATGTAAAAAGAAAAAAGATGTAGATTTCATTGATTGAAATGATCACATTGATGTATATATTATAGATTTATCGAATTCTAATTATCATTATCCTGTAGTTTAATAAAGAGTAAAAGAAATTGGTCACATGTATGGAATATAATTTTCTTTCCTAAGAAAAAATAATAATAATGATAAATAGAAAGAAAGAAGGTAACGAAGGCAAAAAAAGAGAAAGGAAGAAAGAAGGTGCTGATTCTTTGCTCAATCGTATGGACTATCTACATTTTGTATGTCGAGCCGATAAAACTTCTAACATTCATTTATTCTTATTACCTAAATCGCTCTCTCACACACACACACACACAGACACATATACACTGTCTCATTTACTCGTTCGTTTGCTCACTCGCTCGTTTGTTCGCTTCCTCCTGAGTTGGAAGTGAGGTTTTTTTTAGCAAAACGTTTCTTCATTTTTTTGTCATTTCTCATACGGAAAAGAGTATAGTGCTTTCTCCCTTTCTCTTTGTCGCTGCAGTATTTCCTATTCTTTTCTTTCTTTCTCTCTCTTTGTCTACAACTACTACTGAGTGATTATTACTCAACTAAAAAAAAGAAGAAGATAGAAATTCAGAGACAGAGAAAGCAAGAAACAACAAGAAAGATGATAGAAGAATTCGAGACGGACTATTGCACGTTGATGTGCATGTGAGCATGTGTGTATGTGTATATATTTGAAAGTGAGGGTGTACTTTCTACTATCACCCACTATATAATCACAGCATCGAAAAAAATCTTATTGTTTTGTTTGTTTGTCAACTCGAAATACTATGGCACTTGATAAGGTAAGAAAGAAAGAAAATTATTTTTGTAATAATTAATTTAAAAAATTTTGTTTTTCTTGATCAAAAAAAAACGAATGATATAGATATACTATATAAATTTTCATAAAAATATTGACATCTCTTAGAGATCAAAACAACGTCTATTTTTTTCTATTTTTCATTGTTTTATTAATGTTTGATACGATCAAAAGATATCAGATAACTATTCTATAGAAAGTTCATTATAAAATTATACAACTAATCTTCTTGTTTTTTTTCTTGTTGTTGTCAATATCTGTCATTTCAGTCGTTATTTAGTTAATTTATTCTAGACATTTAATTTACAAATTTTCTCATATAGTTTATCATAAATTAACAATATCGTAATAATTTATAAAAGAAAAAAAGAAATATATGGGTGCACATTAACTTTTATGATGATATATATATATATACATATATATGTTTTCTTGTTATTTTTAGTCTAAATAACATTCACTGTAATTTACATCGGAAATTTTTAATTTTCTTCCTTTTCTTTTTGTTCTTTCTCATTATATTATTTCGTCTTTTAGAAAATATTCTTAAAGCTAATCGATCGTTTATTTATAGAAGAAAAAATTGTACGTCACGCACAATTTATTCTTATTATCAGCTTGATAGAAATTCGCCCACCTGCATATCTGTTTTCTTGTTTTATTAACTAGAACAAATAATAACCTATATCACCTGACAAATATATATATCAACTACATATAGAAGAGAGAGAGAGAAAAAAAATGAGAAGAAAATGTCAGAGATTAATTAACAGTGTGAGTACTAGTATGTTTTCTAGCTGCGTGTTGTTTGAATCAAAGAGAGAATGAGCATACATTTGTTATGTTCTCTTGAGAACGACCACAAAAGTGACGGGTTGCTTATTGCTGCTGTTGATGACGTGTGAGGAGTAAAGGATAAGATGTATATGAGTGTGAAGAAATAAGAAAAGTCGAATAAGTTCGAAAGCGTTCAATAGTTATGCTCTGCTCTTTTCCTCCTACTCCTCCTTCCTCCCTTTCTAATTCTTTTTATCATATATTTTCTATGTTGACTGTTGTCTATAAGGAAAAGACACTTGACAGCTGAAAGACATATTTCAGATTATCATCTATTATTTGTTTCTCTTCAAAGTTCAATAAATAAATTTTCTTCTGATTTATTTTAGCCAAATAAAGATTCGTCAACACCCTTTCGGGTTATGCCCGATCAGAGTACAGACTATCGAATCGTTGTTTTTGGTAGTGCTGGAGTTGGTATGTAATACTTATTGTATTTAAAATTTCGTTTAATTTTTTTACTTCACAAAAAAAGGTAAAACAAATTGTGTACTTCGTTTTGTAAACGGACAATTTCGTGAAAATTATATTCCAACAGTTGAAGATACATATCGACAAGTTGTATCTTGTAATAAACAAATAACAACTTTACAGATAACTGACACGTAAATAAGAAAAATCAATTGAATTTATGTATGATTTACTTTTGTTTTTTCTTTTCTTAGTACCGGTGCACATCAATTTCCAGCTATGCAAAGATTAAGTATACAAAAAGGACATGCATTTATATTAGTTTATTCTATAACAAGTAAACAATCATTTGAAGAATTAAAACCAATATATGATCAAATACGTGAAATAAAAGCTGAACAACAAAATGAAACACCGATTTTACTAATGGGTTGTAAACTAGATGAAGCAGCATGTCGTGAAGTAACAGAAAATCTTGGTAAACAATTAGCAGCACATTGGTCATGTGCATGGATTGAAACATCAGCTAAAACAAATTCAAATATACGTGAAGCATTCCAAGAACTTCTTAAATTAGATAAAAAAAGACAATTTAATTTTAATGTTGATCAAGATGGACATTTAATTGAAGATAATAGTAATACACCAGCTCCTTCATCTCCTTCTTCACATGGTGGTAAACGATCAACACCAACAACAAATTCAAGTTCATCAACAACAATAAATAGTGGTAGTAGTCCAAATGTAACTGATATAGCAACAGGAGGATCTGTTTCAACACGACCAACAACACCTATGTCACATGGAAATAAATCTAGTCGAACATCAGTTGTATCAACATCAAGTACATCAATAACAAATATAAAAAAAGGTTCACGAACCGCAGGTGAACAGACAGATTTAACTGTAAATTCGATTGGATCAAAAAAGACTTCACCCTCTGATACATCATCAAGTCGAAAATGTTTAATTATGTAAACAAGAAAAAAAAATTCTCTTTCTCTCTCTTTCTCTTATTTTCTTTTTCTTCTTTCCCTAATGTCTTTTGTTTTTGTGTATCTATTTTTGTATAATGGTTGCAAGCACCCATTCCGTAACTGACACTAAAAGTAGTAGTCGATTTCCGTTACTTTTCTTTTCTACATTAAAAAAAATTCAAGATAAGACTTCATCACACATAATCAAACTTTTGAAATTATATTCATCATCATATGATATTACATATACATAAAAAAAAGAAAACCTATTTTAATGAATAAGTCTTTCTTTCTTTTTTGTTTTGTCAATAATCGGAAGTCGATCTATTGTTCAAATTAAATAGAGACAATTGATTTTATCGATGAATAAGAGAAAAAAAATAGTTTAATGAAAGTTCTCCGGTTTTTTTTCTTCTTTTTCTATAATGATCATAGAGAGATCATTTTTCTTTTTCCCGAAAAAAAAGATATGTCAAGCTTCGAAGTATTGTTAAGTCAAAATATATTTATTCATCGAACCATTACTTATAGCCTCGACTAGTCAGCTATTCAATAGTTCGATCATTTATTAATAGAACTAGACATATTCTATCGATATTATATGATTTATATCGATCAAATTTTTTGTTATTTCTATTTTCAACCCGAAACAATCATAATGACTGAAAAATTTATATACGTAGATTAATATGTTTTGTTTATATAACTCAATTACTAATATTTAATATTATTTTTAAACATATTATGCTAGTTTACAAATGTCTTATGTTAATATTAAAATATATTGAAGCAAATTAAGCATAAAGAAAAAAAATTCTTTTCTTATAATAGAATGAATGTGTAAATTATGTTTCATATGAATTTTATTGGGATTCATTTTCAAGTAAGTTCTCTCATAAAATTAGTATTCCTATAATGTCATTAAGATGATCAATTATGAAAGACACAAAATAAACTTTCTAGAGATTTATATGAATAACAAAATGATACTTAAATATATATATATATACATGAATATTAACTAATTATGGAAAGCAATTACTATTTTCAGTACTTTAAGTGCATCATTTATGCAATGAAATTATTTGTTATTGTATTCAAATTACTTGAAATATTCGAAAAACAATAAATTTTAAAAACTTGATTTGTAAAATCTCTATTTTTTTTCTCTCCGTGGTTTTACTGATTAAAGATCAAGTATAACAATTAGTTTTTGTTCTACATATTTGTCATTATTATCATTATCATCAATGATTATAGGGAACGATAAAAATATTTATTCGACCTTAGAGATTTGAAATGTATGATTTTACATATAAAGAAAAAGTTGATCAAATATTTAGATTTAACCAGATGTCTGGCAAGATCAATATAATTAATAAAAACTTTTTTACTTCGATCAATCTGATTGGTTGTAAAACGAACTAATCAAAGAATATCCTATCAGCGTTGTTGCCGTCAGTCATCATCATCATCATTTATAAACACAAACAAAAAGAAAAACTAGAGATAATATTTTAATTTTATTTTAGATGTCTCTATCATTTTTTCGAATCGGTTCACGCCGATGTATGTCTGTGTTTAAGACACAAGTGCCACCTTCTCCTGCTCCACCGGCAACATCATCTACCGAAAAATATGTTAAAGTTTATGATCGAGAAGAAGATGTTAATCAGAAACGTGTTACACTTCCTATAAATCGAGATCTATTTCCACCAGATACTCCAACACATACTGGTCAAGTATATGATCGTGATGATTATCGAAATGTTCGATTTATGAATAAAGGAAAATTGGTTAGTTTATAATAAGAAATGTGTTTTTTTTCTTTTTAAAATAAATAATGTATCTTTCTTTAGGTAAATCCTCGATTTGCCATTGATTATATTCGTAATGATCCTGTTGTTGTATGTAGAACTCGTGGTGTCTGGTCTGATAGTGGCGGTCCATTAGGTCATCCTAAAGTGTACATTAATTTAGTAAGATAATAAATGATTTTTTTGAATATACATTTTTTTTCTTGAAATATAAATTTAGGACAAACCTATTGTACACAGTTGTGGATATAGTGGTAGAAAATTTATACAGAAAAAATATTATGATGAAAGTAAACATGGACCATCGATTACCTATGAAGAATATACAGCACAAGTTCGAAATGAAGAAGATTGTGCTTATGATGCATCGCATGCAACACCTTATCAATAAACTTCTTAAATCTCCTCTCTTATTTTTCCTTGTTCTTCTTTTTTTTGTCATTTTCTTGTAGTGTAAACAAAACAGACAATAACAGAACATTTTTTTTTCTTTTTCTTTTCCGTTAATTTGTAGATTATTTAATAATGGATTTATTGGGTTTAGGATCGAAAGTTGATATTGATTTTTTACTTGATCCACAAGGTCAACGAAAACAAATTGAAGTTAAACTTGATGATAATAATACTAAACGAACATTACAATATATTTATTATGATGGTGAAGATGTTGGAGGAATGGTAAATAGAATTAGATCAAATTTCATCTGTTATCTAATTGCAAAAAAAAATATTTAGGTACAAATCAAATTAAAAAAGAATAGTAAAGTAGAACATCAAGGTATCCGATTGGAATTTATTGGACAAATTGGTTAGTATTATTTTCTTTTCTATAATCTTTGACAGTGATGTATATTCGAATCACTAATCATAATTTTAACTATTCTAAACTGTCACGTATTAACAGACATAGAAAGAAAAAATAGCATGATCCTATCTTAAAAGATTAGTATGCTTAGGAATAATTATTATAATTAAAAATAAAAATATATGATAATGATGAGATATATGACGGAACTAAACTAGAATATGAGGAAAAGAAGAGTCCTTAGGTAATTTAAATAGAATTTTTGTTTTTGTAGAAATGTTAAATGATCGTAGTACAGTTCATGAATTTATTAATTTATCAAAATTACTTGCTTTTCCGGGTGAATTAAATGAAAGTACATCTATAGGTAAATATAAACTAATCTATTTTTCTTAACTATCACTTTTCTTCAAGATTTTCATTTTCCAAATGTTGAAAAACCTTATGAATCTTATATTGGTGTGAATGTTAAATTAAGGTATAAATTTACTAAAGAAATTTTCTATGTAAAATTAATTGAAAACTTTTTAAATTAGATATTTTCTTCGTTTAACAATTATAAGACGTTTTACAAATACTGTATCCGAACGTGATATATGCGTTCAACAATTATCTCAATATCCTGAAATAAATAATAGTATTAAAATGGAAGTTGGAATTGAAGATTGTTTACATATTGAATTTGAATATAATAAATCGAAATATCATTTAAAAGACGTGATTGTTGGAAAAATTTATTTTTTACTTGTTCGAATTAAAATTAAACATATGGAAATAGCTATTTTAAAAAAAGAAAGTACTGGTAGTGGACCAAATATTTATGCTGAAACTGAAACAGTGGCAAAATATGAAATTATGGATGGTGCACCTGTTCGAGGTAAACTATTTTCGAGAAAAAAACAATAAGTTATGTGATATTGTTGTCTTCTTAGGTGAAAGTATTCCCATTCGACTATTTTTGGGTGGTTACGATTTAACACCAACAATGAAAGATATTCAAAGAAAATTTTCAGTTCGATATTTTCTTAATTTAGTTCTAGTTGATGAAGAAGAACGACGTTATTTTAAACAACAAGTAAATTGTTATTTTTATTTGAAATTTTTGATTTGTTTTTTTTTGCTTAGGAAATTGTTCTTTGGAGAAAACAAGATAAAATTAAACAAAAAAATTCTGCTAGACAATATGCACAATTTGAACCTCCAAATTTAGCTATGAAATCAGAAGATAGTCTAGCAGGCTTAAGTGGTGATGAAAATTCTCCAGTTAATGGACCTTCATCATCTGGTAATAATAGCGATTCACCTAGTGATTGATAATACAATAATGTCATGATTTATTTTGACCGATTTATAAATCTTTTTCTCTCTATATATATTTGAATGGTTTTCTTTTTGTGTATTTCATAGATTTTATTATTACTAATGTAAAAACAGAATGTACTTTTTTTTTTGTATATTATGCAATATGCTTGTGTAAAAAGTCAAACCAAAAAAAAACATGCATGTATTGACCTAGTCGATCTCTGTTTCATTGTCGTTTTTTTTTCTTCTTCTATGAAACATATGTTCTTTCAATTTTGTCTTCGAATAGCTATAGAACAAAACCAAAAAAAAAAAGAATTCGTTGTAGGTGATTTATGGTTGAATGTATTTAAATATATCATTTCTATGTAAAGTATTTTCTTGTATAAAAATTCGACAGTAGAACAAGTTTTCACGATCATCTAATTTTTAAATATAAATATTTAATATCAACTACAGTAATCGAAGCTGAATATCAGTTTATAAATTATGGATAAGATCATTACAATTCTTTCTCTTTTTTCTTGTAATGTTTCATGCATACACGCAACATTTGTTATTAGAATATTCTAATGTTCTTTTGAATTTATGTGAATACTGTAGAGTTACGAAAGGTAAGTAAACATTTGGAATATTTTGCAATTCTATAAGTTCTTCACAAAAAATATGAAATGTTCCGCCACAATATATTATTATCTTGTAAATATAAAATGTCCAAAAATATATACATTTGAAAAATGAGGAAGGCAGTGTATAGTCGATAATGCAAAGATAAATCGAACGAAAATATGTTGTTGTTTTATTTCTTTACTATTTAATGTTTACACTATGTTGCATTGTGCAGTAACATTAGACGTTAGACTTAGAAGATGATGATTCATATAATGTATTTTTCTGGTTCTTTTTTGCCTGCTAGTTGATTTCGTGTATCTATAACTAGTATAAGAGAAAGTAAAATGTTTACTGAACTACGCCTATACTATATTGGTTAACATATAATAATAGACATGAATAGAACGAGAAAAGAAGAAATCAGACTAGTTGTATAGATTTATTATCTTCTCTTTCTTATCATTTAATTTCGGTAAAACGAGTTTTGTTTATATTCGTGAGAAAAACAACTTGAAAAAAAAGTAAGCTTATATGATTTATTTTTTTATTTACTTTTTTTTTGTCTTTTTAGTGTCTGACGTTGATCCATCACAATTACCTGATTCATCTTCAACACCATTAACACGTGATTTTATTGGTTTATGTATTGGTATTTTATCTGTTGTACTTGTTATACTTATTGTAGCTGTATGTAAATGGTCTCGTTGTCAATGTTTAAAACGAAATCAAGATCATGATGATCAATCTGAACGTTTATCATCAGTTATACAATCAAATGCATCGACATCTCGTACTTATTCACAGGATCATCTTAGTCAAAATCAACGATTGTTATCTTGCAATCGTTCTGATGAAGTTAGTGGATATATTAATAATACAAGACATGATTTCCTATCACCTCCTCAACAAACTCATAATGGACATACTCGTAAGGATATTAAAGTACCACGTGTTACAATTACAACTTTACCAGTTCAACCTTCTCAACAACTTGTTCCTCGGCTTTCGACTAGTCCACAAGTACCTAGCTCAACAATGCCACGTAATACCTATTCAATCAAACAATAACTTTTAAGCATTCGATCACTTTTTATTTATTTTTTGTATCTTTTCAGTCCTTTATCTTAAAAGAGATAATGGATTTTATATTTTATACGAAATGCTTTCTATTGTTCATAATTGCAATCGACTAAAGAAAAAGATTTTTATCAAACTTCTTAATTTATTGTTGCTTAAAAAGCAAAAGAGAAATATGAATAACGACTCTTTCAGCATGATCAAGTTACAGAAGTAAAATTGAACTGTTACATATTAAAGATTGCTTTCAGAAACTAAAATTCAATTATGTTTTAAAATATCTTATTGATATAATAAACTTTGATAGTATCACTTTTATATATTCTTAAATATCGTTAATATAACAGCAGAGAATAGAAAATATATTCTATCTATTTCAAATAGAGCAATATGAGAGAGGGCGCTTATATTTGTAAAGATAAGGTTTCTAAAAAGATGTCGAAATATTATAAATTATAATGGATACTGAAGTTGTTATTCTTTTATAGACAAGAGATATTAACGAATTCATGTTCTATATAGATAATTGATTAAATTTTTTTAATTTAATATTTAGTGGTTATCTTATATAACAAATCGAACAAGTTTGAATTTTTACTATTATTTTGACTCTCTACACAGAATGAATCATCAAATCTAACAAGAAATCATTAGTTATTTTCTTTTTTTTTGTAGAATCATGATCGAATTCTTAAATATTTTATTTCAAATATTTCTTTATGTTGGTATTATCGCAATAATTGCCTATTTTATATATCCTTTACATGATAATATTGAAAATTATTTTAAAAATAAAGTTGTTTGGATTACTGGTACGTGATACTAGAATAGAGAAAATCATTGTTTTTTTCTTTGTTCTATAGGTGCATCATCAGGTATTGGTCGTGAATTAGCAAAAGAATTAGCTCGTCTATCACCAACTACACGCATTGTTTTATCTGCGAGACGTGAAGACGAACTGTATTCACTTGCGGCTGAACTTCATCTTGATCCCGATCATTGTCTTGTTTTACCACTTGATCTTGAAATACATGATGATGGTTTTGCAAGAAAAGTTGATCTTGTTCTTGATCGATTTAAACATATTGACGTTTTAATTAATAATGGTGGTGTATCACAACGAAGTTTAATTAAAGAAACTGTATACAAAGTTGATTCACGATTAATGAATATTAATTATTTAGGTACGATTACATTGAGTAAAGCTATTCTACAGGTACAGTAAAGAGAAAAACAAGCGTGTTTTTTTTTAATGTTTGTTGATTCTCAATTATTTTAGCATTTTATTGATCGTCAAAAAGGACATTACGTTGTCGTAACTTCAGCAACTGGTTATGCTGGTACAGCATTACGTTCATCATATGCTGCTTCTAAACATGCTTTACATGGTTTCTTTGATTCTCTTCGATTAGAACATGCTCGTGATAATATTGATGTAACAATGGTGTGCCCAGGATTTGTAAAAACAGATGTTTCGATAAATGCTTTTGAAGGTTCTGGAGCATTACATAAAAAAATGGATCCAAAAACTGAAAAAGGAACAGATCCAACTGTATGTGCATATGATATACTTTGTGGTGTTGCTGCTAGAAAACATGAAATATATGTTGGTCATTTGGCATCTGTGGTAATTTATTTACAACGTTTTTGTCCAAAATTACTCTATCGAATTTTATTACGTACCGATTCATCTTAGAAAGAATGAAAAAGACAATGATATTATTGATCTGTGATTTATTTTATGTGTAGGATTTTCTTTTTTTTTTGTGATTAATATTAGACAAGATGGATTTAGTGATATAATGTTTCATAGATAAAATTATGTATCATAATTTATCAATGAAATAAAAAGAAAAAATGATTTTGTAAACGATTAAATATAGATAGAATTCTGATGATTCTTTGATTGTTTTATTTCTTGGATTATCAATTAAATTTATATGATGATGATTTATTTTTTGAAGGTTTTTGTGCTTCACAGTCACAATTTTTTCAGTAGTGCGAGCTGAAACATCCACGTGATAGTTAGACAACAAAATACTCGAATTATCAATTTTCAAACTCGCATAGACTACTTGAGTTTTACATGTATAATAAGTTTAAAATCAAAATGTATTAAAATAAAGTCATTGCCAGAAAAATGTTGATCAATCCCTTACGCATGTATTCGTTTTTCTACCGTTCTTGTGTGGAATTTTGCTGACATGAAAATGTTACAGTTCATTGGTACTTGCTTTTTATTGGTTCTATATGATAATGCAAACAATATCATATATCAAAAACAGATTTTCTTATTCTAATTTAGTAAAGTAACTGTCATCATCGATATAACTTGGTAGATAAGATCTAATTGAATAATCAATATGAATAATAAAAAAAAACTTTCTGCTAAATTATGATTAGTTTGATTTAGATCATCTATAACATCATAAATTATCTTTTTACTTTTATTTATTCATATACTATCTACATATAACATACAATAAACCTTCGCTCAAGCAAAAAACTTATTGTTCAGCGTTCTAATGACTATATACAACCTTGCGCGCACGTCTGAATGACAAAAGAAAATAATGATAAGCTAATATACAATATTAAGAACAAAAGTTTTGTTTTGACGCAGACAAAATATAGAACAAAATGTACAAGGTTAAGGACATGAGAAAAAAAAGAGAAATGAATCGGAAATAAACTATAAAAAGTTAATATGGAGGAGAAACAAGCATCACTAGTTCCTAATACATAGATATAGAACCGGATGAGTTGCCAACAGATCATTGCTTCAATCCATAACACTACGAAAATTATATAAGTTTACAATATATTTATATATATTATTAATATTTACCCATCAAATGCTAAATCATTATCTTGATCTATGTGTTCATTTTCATCGTCATCATCACCATTGTTTGTTGATGTTTTACAATCAGCACGACATGTAAGAAAAAGTATTCGACGAAGTTTTCGATTATAAAAGAAAAAGTTAAATGACCAAATAATTCCACTTTCAGAAAATGGATCGGAAGTTCCATCAGGACGATAACTAATTCAAAAGAAAAAATACAAATAATATTTCATACTATTCTTTTTTAACATACCTAAATATTTCACTTTCTTTTATATTGATTTCTTCATCAATTCTTGACCATAATTGTGGTGATAATGATCGATAGTAATCACCAATACTTGAAAGAAATCGAGAATCTACTTCAGTTTTAACCAACTAGATAATAAAAACAAAATGAAATATTTTCTTTTTTTCTTCGTATAAATATACATACTTCAAAATTTGTTTCTCGACTAAAATCTTGACTTGTACAAGAACTAAATTCATAATCTGGTTGAAATGTTGCATTTAATGTCGATATAAGGAAAATAAGTGTTTTTCGTGGAATTGTTTTTACTAATGGTGATTCATCATCACTCGATATTGATCGTGCGATTGGATTTGTATGTAAGACTTGTGGTGGTGTAGTTAAAAAACTTGAATTATATGATGGTGATCTCATTTGTGACGGTCCAAGAATTTCAAGATCATGCGGTGATGTACCAGGTTCATTTCGTAATTGTTTATATAGCTTTTTTGGATCACCAGCCATTTTACATGAATAACTTTCCACACTATTTACAAAATAAATAATTAATGAAGAAGAGATTGTTTTATATTTATTTACCGAGTTGTAATATCAGAAACAGGTGTATCAATGGAAAGTGTTGAACTAATTGCTTCAAGTTTAGAATTTTCAAGTAATTTCATTTTTAATTTTCTATTAATAATTATGCGAATTCTTTAATGACGGAGATATTTTATAAATCGATTTGAAATTATTTAACATGGAATTATTATTGAATATAAGCAAAAAATCATAAGCCATATAAGAAATTGAGGAAATGTTGATATTTTCTTTACTAATCCGTCGACGAAACTAATCTATAATAAAGAAAGAATATCCTACTCCACTGTCAAAATCTATTATCACATGACAATAGACACACCCACTTGTGGTTGGTTGTTATTGACAAATAAATGAGTACTACTAGTGCCATCTGTTTCTTTCTATTGTGAAATATATTTATATAACAAGAATAGTTCACAATTTTTATTTTGAAATAAAATTAAAAATAAATATAAAATATGATTTTTTTTCTTTAAATAACATATTGATAGAGGTCATTTCCATAGATAAAGAATACTATAATGGTAAATAAGCCTTGAACATTTGTATTATCTTCATAAAACAACAAAATGATTCCTAATGATGTTAATATTTCTTCTTCTTCTGTTCAATTATTTGCAAATTTTGATTCCGGCAATATGCTTCGCTATGAACGTGTTACATCATCAATATCTGCTCCTCCAATACCGATAAATTCTACTGAAACAGATACAACTAATACTAATCATAATCAAGGAGCAGATACTGGAGTAAGTAGTATAAGTCATCCATTACCAAAACATGATATTGAATTTAATGTTTGGACAAAACGTGATTGTGAAGGAACAGCTAAAGTCAATGGAAATCGTTCATGGTTTTATTTTGGTATTAAAGGTGGTCATGGAAAATGTGTTCGATTTAATATTATGAATTTAAATCGACAAGCTAGATTATTTGAAATGGGAATGTTACCAGTTTTTCGAACAGTACCTGGCCATGAAAAATGGTCAAGAATATATACACGTCCTTGTTGGGAATTAAATAATGAAGATTTTAAATTATCATTTATTCATCGTATAACAGATTCAAAAACTTCTATAACCTATTTCGCATTTTGTTTTCCACATTCATATGAAGATATGCAAATATTACTTAATACATATGATACATTATATAATTCTCAACTAGCTAATCATTATTTAGAACGTCCATCAATTCAAATAAATGGTTCAGATATTTATTATCATCGTGAAACATTATGTTATTCTTGTGATCAAAATAAACTTGATTTAATTACCATAACTTCTTATAAAGGTATTACAAAAGGACGTGAACATCATTTTGATAGAAATTTATTTCCTGATTCACCACACTTAACAAAACGTCCACATCAATTTCGTAATAAACGCGTTTTTTTTCTTTCAAGTCGTGTACATCCCGGTGAAACACCAGCTACATTTGTATTTCTTGGTTTTCTTGATTTTATTCTTAAAACTGATGATCCTCGTGCTAGATTATTACGTGATTTATTTATATTTAAACTTGTACCAATACTTAATCCTGATGGTGTTCAACGTGGTCATTATAGGACAGATCAATTTGGTGTTAATCTAAACCGTATGTATCTTGATCCTGATTTTGAAAAACATCCATCAATTTATGCTGCTAAAAGTTTAATTGCATATCATCATATTAATAATTCTATTTCACCAAAACCAATATTATCAATCAATGATATATTTAAAGATTTTATGGTTCATGAAAAATCAACATCACTTATACAAAATAATGATCATTTATTAAATACTAGTCAGATTCAAGTAAACATTGAATTGACTTCATTTTCTTGTGAATTGTTTATTTGTCTTCTGTTTTACAATAGGATAAATCAACAATAAGACAAACACATTTTCATCAGGAAACTCGTTTTGAAACAAAAACAATGTCAGATCATAATATATATAACAATTCAACTTTAGAAGAACGTACAATTAATGCAGAAAATCGACCTTTCTTTATTGAACGAACTGAAAATGGTTTAACTTCTAATATGACAACAGAAATTGATGATATAGATATTCAACGTGCATCTCCATATGCATTTCATTATGTAAATGAAAATTTAGAACTTCATCATGATTTATTTCCTGTTGTTAACGATGATGATGATGAAGACGAAGGAAATCTTCGAAATCAGATGAAAGGTATTTAGAGGTTGAATTGAATTTAATGTATAACTCTATTATATTACAATAGGAAATGAAGGTTCTGATGATGAAGATGATATGTTCTCATCTGGTCAAAATAATGAAAATGGTGTTCAAGAACCTAAATCACCGCATTTATCAAATCCAGATTTCCTCAAAATATCTCCCTATGAAAGTGGTGTTGCTTATTATCTAGATTTACATGGTCATGCATCTAAAAAAGGTACAAATATTATTCATTACAATAATATATTATTATATATAACATTTATTTTTAGGTTGTTTTATCTATGGTAATCATTTACCTGATGATGAACAACATACAGATAATATTCTCTTTCCAAAATTAATTTCGCTTAATTCTCCACATTTTGAATATGATAATTGTAATTTTACAATCAAAAATATGTATATGAAAGATAGACGAGAAGGTCTATCGAAAGAAGGTAGTGGTCGTGTTGCACTTAATAAACATTTTGGTATACTTCATTCATATACACTTGAATGTTCGTATGCTGTTGGTAAATCATGTAATGCAATACCACCCGCTGAAAATGAATCTCATGGTGGTCGAGTATCACCACCAACACCATGCTCATTACCACCAAAATTTACTATTGAACATTATCGTGATGTTGGAAAAGCATGTGCTTTAGCAGCTATTGATATATTACCTGGACGAAATCCATTCACGCGTGTTGCTCACTCAACATTTAAAACTTTACATACATTACGTGATTACCTTAAACATCAAATTAGACAACAACGTAATAAAATGGGTAATTCTCGAACGGGTGCATCGCAAATATCATCAGTCACAAACAATCGTGTTAAACAACAACAACAACAATATTTAACAAGAGTGACACATACATATCGTACAACAAATAATTTAGCAACAACTACACAACAACAACAGTAGTTTTATTCATTTATGAATAATTATATTCTATCTATTTAATTTTAGAATGTCATCTACAATTTCAAGTACTTCTAGTGCTCCAGCAAGCACCGTAACAATAAACAGAACAACATCAAATAATCAATTGAATCGTGCATCTGGAACAAATTCTAATCAACAAACATCTTCACGTCTTAAACTAACATATGATAATCGACGTTATTCAAATACTCAACATAAACGAACATCACAACCTACAATGAATTCAAATTTAAAAGTGATACCAAAATTATCTCCAGTTGAAGTAGTTTCTTTACCACCGGCTCATCTTATACTTCAGCAACAAGTATCATCTCCTAGTCGTTTACAGCAACAACACTCATCATCATCACCACAATTTGTTATACCATCTAGTTCAGTTCTTGATCCTCTTGTTCTTGGACGAAACCGTCCTGCACCATTACCACCACCAACAACAACGACAAATCGAAATACTTTGCCTCGTAATGCTGTTAGTCTTAATGCATTACCATTCAATCAACAAAATAAAACAGTAACACGAGGACGTTTACCAAATACTGGAGTTAAAGGGCCATTGCCAACACGAACATCAAAAATGAGACAACAATCATTAGCACCATTTGATATTCAACAATCTATTGTACCATATCCAGCAACATCATTTATATATCGACATCCATTAAATACTGATCTACCTCCAGTATTCTTTGAATGAATCTTTTTTAATATTTCTTTTTCTTTCTCATTTGTTTTTTGTTTTTAATGAATTAGAATAATAATAATTCTTTTTTAATTCCTTCGATTGAATGGAAGATTGTACGGTAAAAAAACTGCAAAACAATTTTGTGATTGACTATATGTTTACGTCAGATCGAAAGTTATCAACAATGAAAAATCAATTGATTTTATTAGTCTTTCTTTAAAAAAGTCTTGTTAATGGAAATAACGATTTGTTTATAAAGTTTAACCAAAAGTACAAGAAGTTTATAGCAAAGCCGAGTCATGCTTTCTAGATCAGCAGTCAATAGTTGTGGGTGATGGTCTAGAGAAGTGCTGAAGAACGAGTAGCCAGGGATTGTAAAATTTTATTGGTGAAGTCGTTCGAAACACATAAGTATATTCAAAGGCTAAACACATGAAATATGTCTGACTAGTATCACCTAGTATATGTGCGTAGGATGGGCGGGTGTGAGCGTATAAAGAGAAAAAATCCAACACCCGCACCCGCACCCACACCCTACAATCAAAATTATAGGCTATAATTATTTTCTTTTTTAAAGTTCTCGTAATAAAATTTGCTAGTTTTAATTATGATAAAATCAAACTTTGAAATAAATATCATCATCGTCATCTGATTGAAAATCAACGCTTTTATTTTTATTAAACAAAATATTTGAATTTGAAATAAAATGATTAAATTAAAAATTATCAGTATATTCTTCTTTGTTAGTTTGTATTGTTTGTGATGGTATATTCATTTTTGCATTGCAATTATACATATACCTTCTTTCGGTGCAACAACCATAACTTTTTTGCTTGGTGTTCGAAGACGAAGTGATATTAAATTATCTACCCCCGTTCACATTCACCTACACCTACACAATCTGATGTCCAGTAAAAATAAATCATTTTCATGATAGACGTATGATATATAACGAAAGAAACTTAAAAAGAGAAAAGAATGAAGACTCTATTGTCAGTGGGAATTGATTGAAAAACGATCGTTTACATTAGTTTTTTT